GTCCTGGGGCTGCCTCGAGGCCGTCCCGGGGAGGCTGTCCCGTGGCTGCCCCCGAGGATGACCCGGGTCTGTGTCGGTAATAATAAAAAAATCATGATGACATATTATTTAGAATGATATGAATAATAGGTATATAAAATTATGGCAATCTATGTATTTTTCTCATCAAATAAAAACCTAACCCAACAAAATCTCTTCACTAGTAACCAGACTACTCATCGTCTTCTTTCTAATTGAATTCCGATCTCATTTCATAAAGACAAACAGATATTTAAACATATAACAAAATCTTATTAATTTGTTGAAATAATGACAAAAAATTTAAAATAATTTATTAGTAGTAATGATTAAAATTTTCTTAATAATTACTACATAATTATGTAACATAAAATGAGACAATCATTATGGTAGCAATTAAGTTACTTTTAAAATGGTTTTTACATATATTTTTTTATGTCATTTTAAATAATTAGATGTCATTTATAACCTCTTGTTTTCTCTTTATTTATTAAATGATAATTGTTTATTTTTTAGTATAGTGACATAAATAATATTTGAGTGATATTTTTGATTTTTCCCTTTATCTTTTCATAATTTAAAAGGAAAAAGAGACAAATACCCCTTTAGAGTGCATGAGTTTAGATTTTTAACCCTTATTCATGGTCAACATCCTTTTAATCAAATAACTATATTAGTCAAGAGTAAGAGATAAAAATCAAGACCTATGCACTCTTAATGTAAGTTCAGTAATTTTCTCTAAGTTTTAAGAGAAATTGTAGTAAATAGTAAATTTTTGAAACTAAATTAAGTAAATAGAAGATTTTAAAGTTATTTGAAGTAAATAACAGTTTACTGTGTAAATGTGTCATTTATAAAATATAATTTACATGATAAAAAATCTTTATTTACGTGAAATTTTTTTTAACAGTCTTAAAAAGAAAATTTACATAGAAAATTCATAAATGAAACATTTTACACAATAAATTACTATTTAATATTTACTTTAAATTGTTTTAAAATTTTTTATTTACTCAATATAGTTTTATGAATATGCTATTTTATGCATTCTCTCCGTTTTGTTTTGTTTTTTTTCAATTCAAATAGCTAAAGATATGTTTGGGACTATGATAGGCCCAAACCATGGACTATTGGGCCACAACAGGCCCACAAGCTTGTTTCTTCTTTCTCTTGTCTCCCCCAATTTTTTTTTTAAAAAGAAAAGTTTGCTCCTAAAACCCTAGTGGATGGGAGAGGGACATTTTTGAAGGGTTTAAGCTCTGGTGAAAAGTTTGCAAAGGAATTTGGAGGAATTTTACTCGTCGAGAATGGAAGAGCAGAAAGAGAAGCAAGAGAAAGTGCTGGTACTTCCATGGATGCGAAGCCCTGTAGATGTTAGCCTCTTTGAAGAATGCCCTCTTTCTCTTGTCCCTTGCCTCGACCCCAGGTATCTATTACGTTTATTTATATATACACACTTCTCAATTGTTGATTTCTGAGACTACGCTTTATTGTTTTCATACTTTTATAACTTACCCATAACCCAGAATTGTCATTGTTGGTAGAGACTGAATTATAAACATATTTGATTGATTGATTGGTTTTGTGTGTGAGCTAAGGAATAACCAGGAAGATAGTCCGTGATTTCATATTTTAATGTGATTTATGGAACTTACCCACGAAGCAGAATTTTGAATTTTAATCTTTCTGATTGTTAATGAAGTGAATAATAAACATGCTTCAAGGTGTTGTTTTCTAAAAAAGAAATAACTCAGAAATAGAGTTCATATGTCATTTTTCTTGGTGGAGGTTGATATTTGTGTTCTGATTTGTTCAAGTTTTTAATTCTTTTCCTTCGAATTATGTGATTTGTGAATGTAAATACTTGTCAGTCACATTTATGCTGCTTACCCATAAAGCAAAACTTATATTTTTTTACTACTAAAGTAGTGAATTTTTAGTGCATATGTGCTTTACGTTACAAAGAATAGACATAATGGAAGTGTATGTTTCAGTTTTCTTGGTTAGTATTTTCTTTTTTGGTTGAAATTTTTTGGTTTAGTAAAAGAGGCTTTTTTGTTTTGTTTTGTTTTTGTTTTTTTTGTTCGTTTTGTTTTTTTTTTCCTCTCTTGGCCATTAGGTTGAAGGTGGCTTTGCAGAACATGGGCTTTGCTTCGCTCTTTCCAGTTCAAGTTGCAGTTTGGCAAGAGACAATTGGGCCTGGTTCTTTTGAGCGCGACCTGTGTGTTAATTCACCGACTGGTAGCGGAAAGACTCTAGCTTATGCTTTGCCTATAGTGCAAGCACTGTCAACTCGTGCTGTTAAGTGTCTGCGCGCTTTAGTCGTTTTGCCCACTCGTGATTTAGCCTTGCAGGTTGGATGCCTTCTTACCTTTTACTCCTTTTAATCTAAGAATGTTGAATTTATACTTCTTTAGTAACAGAAAATGAAAAAGAAAAAAAAGAAAAGAGAAAAGAGAAAGATCTTACTCTCATGTTTTGTCTCTAAATATTCCAGAAATTAATTTCACTGTGGTTGTTTCCTACATACAGTTTAGAATTGTGTCCACCCTTAAGAATTGCATGCTTTTGTTGCATTGGTTCAGGTCAAAGAGATTTTTTCTGTGATTGCACCTGCAGTGGGATTATCTGTTGGTCTGGCCGTTGGGCAATCTTCCATTGCTGATGAAATTTCTGAACTAGTCAAGAGACCTAAGCTTGAGGCTGGCATTTGTTATGACCCGGAAGATTTTTCACTTGGGTTACCAAGTTCGGTGGACATATTAGTGGCGACACCTGGAAGGCTGATGGACCATATTAATTCAACTAAGGGTTTTACACTTGAGCATCTTTGCTACCTTGTAAGCAGTAAGCTGTGAATTTTTTTTTTTTTTTTTTTCTGAATTTTGTGGAACTCTTTATTCACTTTTTATGCAATTGGAAAACCTTGAGGGTTAGGTTCTGTTATATTTGAACTGTTGGTCTTAGATTATGATAGGATTATGTTAGTGATTAGTTACCAATATAATAAGTGGTTGGGTGCTTTTGAGAGGCCTATGTCTCTCCCAATAGAGCAAAGCTCTATCCAAACACCCCAATTTCTGCCTGCCTTTCCTAGTGTCTTTCTGTTGTTTATATACTACTACTAACTAGCTTAACAACCTAACAAACCAATTCTAATAACAAACCACTAACCACTTATTATATTGATAACTAATCACTAACATAACCCTATCCGATTACTGTTGTCAGCTGGGTCTGATGCATTCAGTTTTTTTCCAGGCAATATATATCTTTTAAAGAACTGAATTACAATTGAATTCAATACATTTGTCTATTTGGCATATTTAATTCTGCATTGTCATTCAATCTTATTTTAGTTGACTATGCCGATGCTAGGGTGTTGAGTTGTTTGTTTCTATTTTGTTTTCACTTTCCCGAACACTGGTGGTTGTAGGACAACTTAGTTGTGGAAATTTCTATTATCGAAATGAAGAAACTTATTATATGCAAGGGAAGTTTTAATTCCACATTTCAAAGTATTTTTTGATGATTTGATTTGATTATGCATTTTTAGGTCGTTGATGAAACAGATCGATTACTCAGGGAAGCATATCAATCTTGGCTGCCTACTGTGCTCCACCTGACTAGATTCAATGATGAAGGTTTCTTTCCTCGTGCTCACACTTTTCTACCTTCTTCCCTTGGTTCCTTAAAAACCATAAGGAGATCGTGAGTTCTATGTCCAATTATATTCCTTTCTAAGTTGTTGTTCTTGCTTCTTTTTTTTTAATTATTTTTTTCCTTCAAGCTGCTTCCTCCCCTCTCTTCTTTTGTAGCCTGACACATGAATGGTTTACAATATAATTTTCAACTTCATATGGTGTAAGAACGCTTTGTCTTGATATAAAAAAGGAAAATATCCAGACATATGTATATTATATTTATCTTTTCTCTGTTGTATTGCGCTTTAATTTCTCTGTATTTAAGTTTACTGTCAACCTTGTTTATTTTTATGTTTACAAGTGTTCCTTTGTTTTGTTTTGGATGTGTTGAAACTTGAAAGTGATTTATTTTTATGTTTTAAGTGTTTCTCAATTATGTTTCAGGGGTGTTGAGAGGGGATTTAAGGGTAAGCCTTACCCAAGGCTTGTAAAGATAGTTCTTTCTGCTACTCTGACCCAGGATCCAAGTAAGCTTTCTCAGCTTGCTCTACATCATCCGTTGTTCTTGACAACTGGGAAAAGGCGTTATCAACTTCCAGAGAAATTAGAATCATACAAATTGGTATGATAGTAGTTATTGGTTAATTTGTAACTTCTGTAAACATCATTCCTGTTCTTCTCAAATTCTTGAATACTATTGCTGCATTTTGATCTTACTTCTCAACATGAACAAAGATTCCTTGTTGCATTGGATGAAACTGCAGATGGTCTAGGTCTAAGACTTAAATAAGACCGTCTATCCAGCTAAAAAAAATGGTTGTATTTGGTAGTTCTAAATGTTCCATTTATTATTTGCAGATGTGTGAAACAAAACTCAAACCTTTATATTTGGTTGCTCTTCTGCAAAAGTTAGGAGGGGAGAAGTGCATTGTTTTTACATCATCGGTAGAGTCCACTCATCGTCTATGCACCTTACTAAACTTTTTTGATGATTTGCCATTCATAATCAAGGAGTATTCTGGCCTTCAACGCCAGTCTGTAAGAAGGTAAGATCCTGGCTTCACTCGATCCATAACATCAGTGGTGAACTGTGAATTGTTTGTTCCCTTTCTTTGAATAACAAAGCAAATAGGAAATGAGCATAATTAATATTCAGGTAGGGGTAGTTTGGGGCTTTGGGCTAGTAGTAAGTTGATGATAATAATAATTTAAGGATTGTAAAAAAGATTGTGAAGATGAGATTTTCTGCTGCAGTAAAACATTGAAAGGGTTCCGAGAAGGGCAGATACAAGTACTTGTTTCGTCTGATGCAATGACTCGTGGAATGGATGTCGAAGGGGTGAAATATGTGATTAATTATGATATGCCTGTGTACATAAAAACATACATTCATCGGGCAGGTCGGACTGCAAGAGCAGGTCAGGCTGGACGTTGCTTCACTTTGCTGAGTAAAGATGAGGTATGGCACTTGTTGTCTTATTTATTTTTGCCTGACTTTAAGATATGAGGTATTTCTATGGGGCTACTTGGGAACAAGATATTTATTACCAAAACCATTTACTATTAAATACTAATATGCCCGACACGTTTCTAATGTCTTACAATGAGTATGAGATCTTTGGAAAAATTGGGATGATCCCATATGATGATTAGACCCATCAGCCATACAATGTTATTGTCCATTATACGTGCAGTTTCCGCTGCATTATGCTTTGGGTTTTATCTGTATAAAGGCAGATAAATTGAAGTTTAGCTGCTTGTGAATTAGAGGAATACCACTTGTAGAAAATTGGTATTCGAATATACCACTTTTGTAGAAAATTAAGTCCAATTTACACATAAAAGTGATACAGGTTAATAACCACACTTCAAAAGCGGTACCTAGCCTAATTTACACTTTAACCGCCCATATTTTCGGCCTGGGTAGTTCTATTTGCTTGCTTGCTGGATTGAAGTGTTTCGTTTGATTCAGTTCCAAGTTACAAAAATTTTCTTGCTAGCCATGCCCATAATGAACAATCTTTTCTCTTTCTTTTTTTTTTTTTTTGGTTTCCCACACTTATCTGGACCTAATCTCATGCTATTCAGTTCCATTCCACCCCTCTATGAACAGAAAGAAACTCTGGAATTTGTTATTCTTCAAGAAAGATGAAGACTGTTTGAAGTTTTCTACCCAGTGATTGCTTTGATGGCTGGGATTTGTGATTTTTTTTTTCTTTTTTGGATAATTGAATGTATTGTTGGCTGTGTGTTAGGCCAAACATTTCAAGAAGCTGTTACAGAAAGCAGATAACAACTCTTGTCCTGGCTATGCTGTTCCTTCAAGTTCTATTGAATCAATGCACTCAATTTACACCTCTGGTAATTTCTTATTTCTTTTTTGGGTTTCTATTCAGGGTGTGTCTATAACAAAAAAATAATAATAATAATAATTCTGAAATGGATTCCTTACCTGTATAACGAATAATTGAAAAACTCAGAGGATGTTTGGTAGAGGGATTCGTTCCCTGATTCAAATCATGATTCGTGGTTCGCTGCAGTATTTTCTCTAAAAAAAAAATACACGTAAATCGAAAATGGTTTGAATCCTCCAACCAAACGTTTCCTCAGACTCACCTTCAGAGTTTCTCTGTTTGCTCGATTATAAGTGATTAAATGGAAACAAGAATCTGTTTCTTGCATTAGTATTTGCCCGATTACTTTACTAACCCTCTTTATAAAGAGGAATTGCATTAGCTCTTTTATTCTATTCTGTTTTATTTTATTTTAACCGCTAGTTGTACTGTCTGTTCTTTTCATTGTAACAGCACTCGAGAAATTGAAAGAGACTGTTGAGATGGAAGCATACCAGAAGCGCAAAATGGGTTTCAAGTCGTCTAGAGTGGGGAAAAGAAGTGGAACACACCCCTCAAAAGAATAGCATGGAACCACTGAAGTATTTCCATCTTTTAATATATGGGAAAGAACTTGCAGGTGCTGAGACTTAAACCATCTGGGTTGGAATTGGATCAACATGGATGAAGGTTGCTAGCTAAAAACAAAAGAAAGATGCCATCTGAGCTTTGGAACATCCATAAGAGGAGGAAAAAGACACTTTTTGCATCTTCAGTTGTATTAGGTCGCCGCAGCAAACAGGCAAAGATTTACCAATCAAACGGAAATTAGCAAAAATACGCGGAGAAATCAGAATATATATATATATATATATATATATATATATTTTTTTTTTTTAATTTTATTTGCCCCATTACAACTTGTAAACAGTTCATTTGTTTGATTGTTTGATGTCCGATATCTGTTATCTTATGTTCATCTTTCTTCTTTTCTTTTACTCTGCTTGAGACCTAATTAAAAATTATGAGGCTTGATTCAACTATGCATTGTTGCATACTAAGGTAAGTCTTTCAGAAGCTCCTTGTTCGTCTGAAAATTCACAATATACCAAGATAATAGCAAACATACAAATTATATCAACTGATGCTGGTTTGGTTAAGAATTAATGATAAAAATAATACACGTCATTGGAAATTCCAATACTTATTTTCGTTCCATCCTCTATTGCTAAATACAGAGTTCCATTCCTCATTTCAAACTGATTCTCCTCATCTCCGAACAAAAAAATAATTATAATAATAAAAAAAGGAAAAGAGAGAAGGATAGTTCTTTTTGTAGCAACAAAGACAAATTGCCTACCACCAGTTTAGTTGATGAACAAAGGGAGGAAAATATTAAGTTCTTGCTTCACAAGTCGTGATAGATTGATTGCACGTAACAACCAATATAATACAATACAATACAAATCAATCACATAATACAATACAATACAAATCAATCACGACATTTCAGACAAAGGCTAAAATGCCTGCGGCCTTATTAGCAGAGAAAGCCCTGAAGACATTTGAGTTTTATTTGCTTGATTCCTCTTCAAGGCTTTCAGTGATTGAAGATGGAAAAGGATCTCTGCACCTCCTTGAGAAAGTACCTGGATTTACCACAACTACCAATCGTAGATTTAGTAGCAGTAGTAGAAGAAGAAAAAGAAGCAGAAGAGAAAGCATGAGCTGATGGGATGGTCTTTGCTGGTGAAGTGTTGGGAGAATCGTTTGCACAAACATCTCTCTCTTCCTCTTTGATGGTGTCCAACACCTTTGAGGTTCTATGCCTCATGACGCTCACAAACTGCGGAGGCGCAACCTCGGTAATGAACCTTGCTATCCGAGAATTCGCCATTCTCTGAGCTTTAGAAATTGTGATTGAAAGAAAAAAAAAAAATAGAGAGAAATGAGGTCTATGGGGGGAGATGGGTGTTTTTCTTTGGTTGTGGATGTGTATGAACCTAGTCCATGCATGAGAATTTATAGTGGCTATAGTTTCCTTCTTTGCATTGACTGAGGCTTAAATTTTGGCCAATACTAGTACTAGTCTTAATCTCATTTTTAGCATATAGTGCCGTCCCTTTGCTTTTGACATTAATGGCAAAGACAACATGATGTTTCCGAGACATTTCTAGGAGATAAACCTAAAAGGGTTTTAGGCTATGTGTCAAGGTTTGGATGGCAAATGAGATTATCTCCAAAGATATGGTTTTTGTTTGGAAAGCTAGCTTCCAAATTTTCACTTTTCTTAGCTCATATGGGACCACCCACATTGCATGCCACGTTTCGCTTGCTTTTTGGTTGATAATTACTATGATGTTGATGGTATTTTTCTTGACTGATCCTGCTTTTTCCCGAAAATTGCAATTATAAAATATATATAAAAAATGTGATAACACAATGATAAGAAGATTTTAATAAAAAAAGATCTGCCCAAAAAACGTTGGTATAATCCATGAAAAAATAATTCTAAAAAAAAATCCATGAAAAAAGTATGAATCATGTGAATTAATATTAAAATATCATATTTATTTAATAAGAAAATAACACAACTCATTGCGACCTGAGTTGATATTAAAATGTTGAGATTCAAATTAAGATCCACAACATTGCTCATTAAAGTACATTAAAAAAGAAAAAACGATTTTACGTTAGAACTAATATGCAATATACAATTATCATTGATTGATAAGAAGGGGTGGTAGAGAAGGTTTAAAGTTAGGTTGTCAAAGTTGGATGTGTTTAGATTGGATTAGATAGAAAAGAAGTTCTTTTCTTAATTGTCACAAAAAGGAAAAATATTGAACTTTCGACATTTGATTACAATTTTTTTTATACAGTAATGGAGCGTATAACTCCCATTTTACTAACAAGAAACAAAACCATCAGAAATTAAATCCTGGTGAATACATACATACACTTACACATCTAATCATTTGAGGCTGACTCAACTGACAGTGCAAAAATGAATAATTAAGGACCCATTTAATTCGCTGATTCGAGTTGAGATGTGACTTTATGTGAAAGTTTTTTACTGTAGTAAAAAAGTTAAATGTGACTATTTTTTAGAGCTTTTTACTGTAGCAAAACTCAAATTTTAAACTCGAATTGGTGAAATGAATGGGGCCTAAACATTAATTTTTTTTCTTTTTTCTTTTAATTTTTCCATAATAATAAATCACTATTAGTTTTTGCATATGTTGTTCGGCTTATTTGTATTGTTGTCTCCTGAAGTTGTTACTCACTGGCAATGTACCCCATGAACCTTTTTCTTTCTTCTTCTTTTTATTTTTATTTTTATTTATTATTATTATTATTATTATTATTTTTTGTGATTAGCCCATTGAATTTAAAAATATGCGGCAAAACATCCCGATTAATAATGGTGTTAATATTTTGACAGAAATTGACATGTGACGTTCACATGAGTCGTTAGTTAATGGCATGAAGGGTCATTTACATCTCGTTTAACCAAAATTTACTGGGGTTAGAGCTTTTATTTAGTTTTTTTTATCAAAATAGAGCATTTTGAATTTAGTTTGTTTTAAAAATAAATTATGTTAAGAACAAATAAATATGACCCCATGCTCTTAATTAACGACCTATGTGCAAGTCACGTATAAAATCCCGATATCCCATTAAAAGACTAACATTATTAAGAAGAAGTAACACCGAAAAAGAAGAAGATAATTTTTGACACTTTACTAATACCTTTTCTTTTATTCATTACTTAACTGACTTTTTTAGTTTTACATCCTCTTCAATTTTGAGTCTTCTCTTAAAATTGCTGTCGTTCTTAAGTTGATATGTAATAGGAGAAAGTGATCTGGTAAATAGTCTTTTTTTTTTTTTTTTTTTACAGGGAATAAAATTAAATGGCAGAATTTTTTGTCAGTTAGTAAATAAAATTAAATTTGAGAGTTTACAACATTTACTACATGGTCAAATATGATAAATCCGAGATGTACCCCATGATCAAGGTTCGTAAACCGAAATTTTCTAGATTGATCATATGCATTTTTTTAATCAGTGTTTACTAATTTTTTATTTACATAAATTTAGTAAAATTTCCATTAATAAACTCATGTTTTTATCCTTACAATCTTCTTTTAAAACTTAAATTTTATACATTAATAATTGCAATAAATAAGCTATCTCCCACCATAAAGATTTAAAGTCAGATTATTAACTACAATTCCTCTATTTGGAAAAGATAAAAATCTCTATGTTTCTTTAGTGAAGAACATTCCTCTTTATCTTTCTTCAAGTTTTGAGCCTTTAGGTTTATTATAATAAATATCAGCAATAGCCAATATTATGAAAATAATCGTAACAACAGGTTTATAAGAACATTCCTTTAGATTTCTCAATTAATATAGTATAAAACAGGTTCTGTACATTATTGAAAAGAAATTTAAAATTACATCAAACAACATTTATTAGAAATATATGAGAGAAAATAGCATTGACGACAACAAGATAGTTTTAAAAAGGAGAAGAGGTATGGAGACATTTTGGGGATTCAATTTTATATCCTGAAATTTATGCTATTAATTTTTATTCCCTTCCTAAAGTGTACTATTTCTCTCATTCTGTCAATCTTCAATGTCACTTCATTGTCACGTTTGTTTTGTATATTCGAATTATTGTTCAAACCTTTTACTAAAGTATTTTCTCTAACAAAATTTAAATTTTTGTTCAAATTTTTTTATTCAAACTTATGAACCAAAGAGGCTTTCGTATTATTTTTATGGGTAAATTAGGTTAAAATTTTATCATCTTTTGAAAAGTGGTTTTTTTTTTTCCTATTATTCACCGTGCATAGGACCACAAAAGTGTTAACGTTTATGCCATTAGGAATAAATATAATAATGTTCTTTGAGACATTTTGACTATTAATAAAAATTTATTTATTTCATATATCCGTGTATTGTCATCTTCATGTTCATCTTAGTTGAATGTATGATAAGCAAACTGAAAGTCTAAGACTGTCATTCTAAATCTTTAGGTCATGCATGTAATGAGAAGAACATGCGGAAGACAGGAATCTAAAGATGATAGTCTAAATCATATGATCCGCAATCGAGAGAATAAAGTTGGACGCTTTATTCATGTTAAGATTGTTATGTTGTCTACTTCCTGACGAAGATGGCTTGTCTTGGTTGTCAAAGGTGAGACTCCGTGTGTAGAGACATTGATATAGTTTCTAGTAGTGGAATCTATATTGGGTCAGACTAAAGTTGAATTGTTTTTAATTAATAATTCTGTTTGTATAAAACAATTCACTTTTGACGAATTATATGTGGCCATCTTAATCCTGAGCTGGATAATGAACCCATATGCTTGACTTGTATCCTTTCATGTACCAAAGGGAGACATCCTGACATTATGTAAATGTACGCTTACTGGTTCATTGGGGGGTATGAGTCGTGTTTGTGTAGATTCATTTTTCGTAGATAGTGGAATCCATAGCTCCTATAAAGAGTCAATGACATCCTCTTATGCATTATCTGTGGATTGAAAAATACGAGCGCTTGACCATTAGACTACTATGTGTTATCTAATGGTTTACTATTTATAATGGTACGAATAATGGTTTTCCGATGGAGTGGTATGGAACATAAGATAAATGTAATCGGGAAGATAAAACGGAACTTGACCTTAAGTTGATTATGGATATCCTATGGAGATGATACACTAATATATTGAGTCATGGACGAGAGCTATTCAGAGCTTTGTAAATGTGTTATATAAATCGAGAGTGCAGCTCTAGGCTTTTAGTGGAATAACGCTAGAGTTTTATAATCATGAGACAGACTTGTTGGTTTACAAGTAGCGTTATGATTATAGGAGCTTGATTTATATATGTCCATCAGGTTCCTTTGCTAGCTCACACAATTTTCTGTAACGATACGACATATTTCCTACATATTGGTAACTCGTATTATTTCCGTAAAAGAGGTTCAAAGTTAATATGAGATCGGTTTAATTCATGAGTAATTTATTGGGTGAATTAATTGATAAATTAATTCTAGATAAATTGGTTGAGTTAATGTTTCAGGTTGTTTAGTTAATGAGTAATTTATCGGGTGGATTAATTGTTAAATTAATTCAAAATAAATTGGTTGAATTATTATTTTGAGAGTTATTTAATATGTGAAGACTATTATATGATTGTTTTGATCAGGCAACTCCTTTATTAGATTGCTTGAATTAGAACTGAGGCTTTGTGCAAGTTTCCTGTGTTGAAAAACTAGGAAAATAATTTACCCGTGTTTAGACAGGTCGACCGGACTGGTCGACCAATACATGAAGGATAGGTCGACCGATGAGTTATAACGTCTCTGTCACCGGTTGTAATGCGTAGCCCATGATGACGTGGCGAAACCGACTCTGCAAGTGAGATAAACTTTAAGAAACATATTTGTTACGGTTATATGACTTCCTAAACACTATAAATAGCCCAGTAAGTCACATTATTCATTAGATCACTTGAGAGACTTTTTTGGGGCTATTGGTAAAAGATTCCTGAGAGAAAAAATTATTTAATTCTCAAAAATGATTTTTCCTTTAGATCTCTCGTGATTAGAAGGAGTTCAAGCATACTAAGAGGAGATTGAACGACGTGTGCCCACCCGCACTCCGATCGTGGAAACGAGAATAGCAAAGAAAATCAGTTGGTTGAGGCTCTTTGGTTGTTGTTTGGAACGCTTTGATATGTCAGACATGTTGTTCCCTAAATCTCTAGATGTATGATTTAGATATTTAGTATTTATGTTATATAACATCATGAACATATTCTTGATTGACTTTGACATTGATTTAATTTTTTTAAAATTTTGTTGCGCACTCGACGCCATTTTTCCAACAAAAATTCATACGGATATGTATGGTGTCACATTGCATTCGCTTCATATCGCCGTTTGTCTGTACGCTGCCTCCAAGGATCACCACATTTTTTTATGTATTAGTTTTTATTTTTATTTTTATTTTTTTTCATACAATTGCCTCACCCACCCGACACGCACATTCCCCTCCTAATTTTATGCACCTTTTCATTTCTACCGCACAACATCCTTCTCAATAGTATATAATTACAAAACTTACAGAATTTGATAACATATGATGATTCAAAACGTCACGCATGCATATCTAGTAGTATTTTTTTTTTCCATATTCTGCGTGTTGATACCTCAATTCATACCATACCCATTAAGGGTCTGGGCCCAATCCTTTATTTCTCGAGAAGTTATTGGACTCGTTTCATAGACCCAAACTACGTTCGGAGAACTCTTGTGGGTTATGGTTTGGTGGGCCATGAGTGATCACATAGGCCCAGTTGTCCTTAATTTGACCCAATTTGAAACTTGCTTTTTTTGGGGTTTTTTTTTTTTTTTTTTTTTTTTTTTTTTTTTTTTTGAATTAGTTAAATTAAGCATGAATGGGTGATGGAGGATTCAACCCAAGAAAACCTTCTCCTTGTCCAAGCCTGATCCTTCAGAAATTTTCTTTAACTTAAAAGCCTGAGAAATCCATTAGTAGCTCATTTGGAGGCTTTTCTCGCGATCAGACATGCCTCTCGGAGCACTTCCCGTGTCAAGCATGCTTCCCCAGCTCTTTTCCGTATCAGGTTGTCCATTCAGAGCACTCGTGCGCATTCAGAGCAACCTGGTGTCGGAGCAATCTGTTGTCAAAGAAAGTACAATGGCTGCTTGGTCATTCTTGCACAAACATCCTCCGATAAAGGTCTAACACACGATCAGCCCCCCAAAAGGAAAGTCGTCGAAGCACTTGGTTGAGTCAAACACTCTCAGAGAAGTTAGGTCTGAAGCCATTTCGTGTTAGCTCAAAATCCGGAACTTGGGCTCCAAGTATTTTCACTTCTAACGTGTCATTTTGCCTCCTCCGATAAGGTAGCTGGGATTTTGCTCCAAATGGAATTGCTTGTGACTTATTTCATCAGAATGTTGTCGGAGCAAATTTTCAGAAACTTTTTGTCCTATTTTCAGTGAGTCTCTTCGTCAAACTTAGAAAGCTATTTGACACATTTCCTCCGAATGGGAATGCTCCGACAGCCCGCCGCTGTTTCTTCCATTCCATTTCCAGACAATCTCTTTGTCAAACTAAGAAAGGCTTATAGCCTTCCTCCAAACAGAAATGAGTGTTCAGACCTCCGTCAGAGCAGCTGTCAAGCACTCCTATCTCCTCCTATGAATACCCCCTCACCCTCTTCATTTCACCACCGACAGACCTGCACACCAGATCAACTCATCAGATCTCACTATCACTCTCTTGAGTACTGAAACTCTTGAGAATTCACTCCAAAATCTCTTTCTGAGTGTCTTCTTCAAGTCTTTTGCTAGAAAGACTTGAAGCTTTCTTCAAGTTCTTAAGGAACTCCATAGTTTCTAAGTGTTAATCTCCTTTAAAACTCCTCAAGAACAATTTTCAATCATCTTCCAATACCACCTGAGAGCGTTTTGAGAGTTGTTTCACACTTAACACATAAATACACATATCTAACAAGTATCCACACTTTCACTACACACATAGGCCGGTAACCTAAAGGGAGACCCCAAAGTAACACGGCCGGTTATTGTTGACGAAATCTAACCGTCAACAATATATAAATATATATATATATATATTATCATTTTCCCGTCTCATAAGATACTTATTTCTTTGTTTTTGCAATAACAAATAATTGGTCTTTGAAAATAAAAGAAAGGATTTTAAGGAGTGTATCGAGTTCTAGAGATGAAACAAAGTTGGTGGTATACAACTCACTTGGATCGTGGGATGTAGAAGCCCCCATAGGTGGGTATATGGGCTCCATTGATGTAATTGTGGTGCTCAGGGATGATCTTGGGACGTTTGTTCTAGGAGTGGCCTCTTAACGACTACTTAGCATATTCTCCCCCAACATTACAATGTGTTTAACGACTAATGAGAATTGTATTGTGTGCTCTTGTGGCTTTCCATATTTGGTTCTCGAAACAAATACGCTTCTTAATGTTATTCGTGCTATTCAGAGTTCAGTTGAGCTCCAAGACGAATGTTGGCATCAAAGCAAGTATTCTACAAGTTTAATGTAACTCTATTTACGATATTTTCATACAAGGAAAATGATGTAGCCCACTTCTTTGCTAATTATTCTTTTTCTTTTCCTTTATGTTAATTCTGTTTGGTTTGATCTCGCTTCATTTTGTATTAATTCTTTGTAAAAGGTAGCTTTTATGAAAACCATTGTAAAAAAAATTCGTCAAACCTCGATAACGACGTAAATCGCTTTGCAAACCTCTCAAATAGTGTCACAATGAGCTTTGCAATTGCGAGCCTTGGTGGCTACAACATTGCCAATGGTGCAATTGCAAAAATTTGAACTTTTTTTTCAAAAACCAAAAAAGTAGTAAAAACTTAAAAAAAATGAAAACTCTTTTATTACATCATTTTCTCTGATCGAGAAAATTATTAAACTTATTTTTAAAAGTATATGAGTCTATACTTTTATCTTCTACTCTTAATTAATATTCTTTTATTAATATTATTAATAAAAAATAATAGATAAAAATCAGCACTCATTATCAAGATTTCTCTCTGTTTTCATTTTCAATTTAGTTCGCCTTCGCCCAAACTTATCATTCAAGAAGAGGGCCCTAAGCCGACCTCCCAATAAAGTCAAAAGGCCCAAAAGGCCCAAAAGGCCCAGAGCCCCAAATAAATGCGTTTAGCCTTTACCCGCCATGCGTTGAACACTTGATTAAAATCGCCAGCCAATTTCTGTTACACTCGTTTTACATGCCATCGAAAGTTTTCCCGAGAAAAAGTTTCTTGCACGGAAAATTAGAGACTTAGAAAAGGAAAAAAAAAAAAGAAAGAAAGAAAAGAAGGAAAATGAGAGAGGAAGTGATCAGCTCCGGAGGGATCATTGATCCTACTCCTGCTGCCAGGTACCTTAAACCCTAACCCTAATCCCCTCTCTCTCCTTTTCTTCGCTGTTCGATTTTCAATTTGGGGGAGAATTTAGCTAGGGGTTTAAATTTGTTCGGTGTTGGTTCGACTTGAGGAATTTTCTTGTAAATTTGTGGAGTTAGCGTTAGGGTTTTAGCTGTTTTTGAGATGGAATTAGAAAATGTGGGCTTTGTTTGGGTGTCGAGAAAGTGGAGAAAGATTGTGGAAGTGTTTGACTTTTTGCTGTTTGGCTGTTTTAGAAATGAGAAATTTAGCTTGATTTTGGGGATTTAGGTGGGCTTAGCTAAATTCTTGTGAGTGAATTCGTAGTTATTATTGCATTTTAGGTCTGATGAGGCGGGAATTGACCGAGTGTTGTGTACTGCGCTTGAACATGGTTTGTAGTTCGGATTATGATTTTGATTTTTAACTGCTTCTGAGAATTGATGTTTAGTCTACTATATTTAACTTGCTATTTCTTCGTCATGGTTTATAAGATGGGATGCTTGCTGCTATAAGAATTCTGTATGTTTTGATGGTTCGTCAGTTTTTTTTTTTTCCCTCTTCTACGAGTAATAATACTGTTGTTGATGAAATTGGCATCTTTGAACGTGTAATTTATTAGTATGAAAAAATTACTCAACTAGTTGTCAAATTCTACTTGGCCCAAAAAAAAAGGTTAATCTCATAAATGATCCCTGAAGTTTACTCTCATTCCCACATTGGTCCCTGACTTTTAAAATGTCTCATAGTTGGTCCCTGAAGTTTATTTTGTTTCAGTTTCAATCATTCCATTAGTTAAGTGTTAAATATTTGACGGAATCTGTGTAAATTAGGGACTAAAATTAGAAACATTTAAAGTTTAGGGGCTAAAACGAAATAAAATTAAAAGCAAAAGTTAGTTTCCACAAATAGTCTCTAATTTTTAATTGTTTCCTATTTTGGTCTTAATTTACACAGATTCCATCAAATATAACACCTAGTTAATGGAAGGACTAAAACTGAAACAAAATAAAACCCAGGGATTAACTGTGTAATTTTATTCATTAGTTATTTTTATTATTAGTTTATCTAAATTTTTATTAGACATTTTAAAAGTCAAGGACCAAAATGAGATTGAGGGTAAACCTTAGGGACCCTTTGTGGGATTAAAAAAAAAGTGAAGGCAACGAGTCCTTGTTTCTCATGAATAATTTGTTCATCCTGAAGTTGGGTTTATCCAGGGTTTGTTCTATTTTAATTTAGATGGATGAAATAAACTACAATTTTAGCCCATTCAAGTGAAAGCACGTGAAGATAAGGTTTTTTAATGTATTTTTTTTTTCCATAGACAAGCTATTTGATATTCTTGGAAATTTTGGGAATTCATTTGACAAAGCTCTTTTTTTCTTGGGCCAGATATTATGGGCCTGTTTGGTAGTGTCTTTAAAACGGTTTTTTTTTTAGTATGAAAATGGAAATGATAATTTTTGAGAATGGTGTTGGTACTGTTTTTGAAATTGTGTTTGATTTTTTTTTTTTTTTGAGAGATTGTTTTAGGTACAAGAAAGAATTGAAAATGTTTGGGTATGTTTCTGAAAACCTGTATTAAGTTATAACTTTAGAAAATGAAAACAGAAATGTGAAAACAACTTTCAACCATTTTCCACTTTCTTAACAAAAATTTTCTCACCATTTTTTGTTTGTGTCCTCTTTTTACAAAGTATTTGCTAACCAAAGGATGTTTACCAAACATTTTCATTCTCGTGCCTCAAAATACGTGCAAAACATTTCCAAAAACAAGAGAAAACAATACCAAACACACCCTATCTGTTTTTACTTGTTTTGCCATATGACTCTCCGGGATATGTTCATGTCCTTGTCTGACAACCTTACCTTCCCCACAAAGGCTCTTAGGTATATGTAATTGGGTATTTAGTTATGGAAGTCAATCTATAAGATGGCACATTTGTGGATAGGAAATTTATTATTATTATTATTATTATTTTAAGATTGAATGGGTAGGCTATTCGCTGTATGATGGTAGCAACAGGGAAAAAGAAAGTTCTCTCTTTTTCTGTGGTTTATTTTGAAAAATCTTTTTTCTTTTTGCTTCTTATTAGTTCTGCTGGGGCATCCTCTCCTACCGTTCCAACAAATGTTGGCAGTATAGATGGGTCCGTTCATGGGCAAGGCTCCAAGGCAGCTTCTCTTTCATGTGTTGGTTCACAACCACCACGGGCTTCCTTGAGCACAAGTGATGGTGGTCTTGCCTTTGGATCTTCAAGATCTTCATGTAGACCTTGGGAAAGAGGGGATCTATTGAGACGCTTGGGTACCTTTGAGCCTTCAAATTGGTTGGGAAAGCCTAAGGTTTGAACCTGAGCTTGTTATGTACAAAATGCATGCATTTTTGTTATCAGCTGCAATGCATTGTAAGGTATCCAAACTGTGCATTATTTTGGGACTACATGTTGCATAGACATGAAAATATGATTCTTTTGCCCCTATTTTCTTGAAATGTGAAGTACCCCTTACAATTAGTAACAATAGTACAGGAAATGTTTCTTTTAGACTGTAGCATATGTGTACTTTTAGGTCTGTAGTTTTTTTAGAGGAATTGGAATGGGAAGATATGGGATTTTTAAAACTATGTGGTTCCACAACAACTAAACCATATTCAAACAAGAAATCAACTACAATGAGAACTATTCCCAGTTCATTGCAAGGAATTCTTACAACTTTTGGCTTTGTCAAACCCATTGAGGAAGGAAAGCATGCCCATTGTTTGAATCTCATGGATAATTATTAGGACTGTAAACTTGGTGAAATTTCCACACAGTTGATTCTCTTTGTTGTAAACTTGTTTAGATGGAAGCATGGTCCTAAAAGAAGGAAAGGATGAGATGGTGAAAATGAGGCTGTTGGATCTATATATATCAATAATAGTTTGAACATGACATTTCCTTTCCATAAGCAATTTGAAACAATTTCATAGCATCTCAGTTTTCAATTTCATAGCATCTCAGTTTTTCATTTCTAACTTGTTGCAGGTTATCAGTCCTTTGGCTTGTGCTCAGAAAGGTTGGATAAATGTTAAGCTTGATAAGATTGCATGTGAATCATGCAGTGCGGACCTCAGTTTTGTTTTGTTTCCATCTTGGACCCCTTCTAAAGGTTAGCTATTGGCAGAGTGTTCTTAGTTATTTCCTTTCTTTTTGTTTTCTTTTTCTTTTTTAATGAAAGTTTGAGAGACTACCCATAGATGCTTTGAATGGAAAGAATTCATATCTTTGGACTGATGAGCAATCATGTGGTAAAGGAATTATTGAATTGCCTTTGTTAAGACTTCGCCTTGATGGATAGCTACAGCTAACTAAATCGACAATGATCTAAAGTAGAGTATTCAAGATGGGAGAATGGGGCAGGAGGAAGGAGAAATAGAGAGAGAACTGCGTCATAGTTCAATTGTTATTTCTATTGTATTATAGATTGCTTAAGTTTGAGCTTAAACCTCTATTAATGCACTCAGCTACTATTTTAATAGATGTCCCCAAGTGACAATTCAGCTGTTCCCTGAACCCAAAATCTTGAATATTGCATCATTTAGTGGACGTTTGGTTCATGGATTCAGAATCATGATTCAAAACAATTCTCGATTTACATGTGTTTTTTATGAGAGAAAATACTGTAGCGAATCACGAACCATAATTCGAATCATGACATGAATCTAGCAACCAAACAACCCATAAATGCACGTTGCTTGTGAGTATGTTTATTATGCTAGAATATTGAACATGAAGACGAAGATATGTACTTATTTGTCAAGACAGTCATTATTTTTTGGCTGTTACCTGGGTCACTAATGGAATATGTGCTTACACACACAAAGTTGGAAAATAGCATTGAATTGAAGTTCATAGTACTTGCACTTTAGTCTCCATTATAGCAATATTAATTATGATAAGTTAATGTTAGTTCCTTATCTAGTTCCAAAAAAGCTTTCACGTTGAATCAGTACATTTACTTTGGCTTTTCCATTATTGGTAACAAAATTTCTTCTTTTCTTTTATTATGTTGATGGGTGAAGTTCAAAACGCTGGTGAAGCCTTTGCAAAGGAGCTGGATTCAGGGCACAAGGCCACATGCCCTTGGAGAGGAAACATCTGTCCTGATAGCCTGGTGCAATTCCCTCCTACTCCTCAGACTGCCTTAATTGGAGGTTATAAGGATAGATGTGACGGACTTTTGCAATTTCAGTCTCTTCCAAGGGTATCTGCCTCTGCAATTGAACAGATACGAGTTTCTCGAGGACCACAGATTGATCGCTTCCTGTCTATAGCAGGAGAAGTAGACTTTAAACCTGAAATTATTCCAGAACTGGAAAGCTCTCGAGATGGAGCCACCTCGTTGTATTTTTGTGTGAGTTATCTAGTGGTACTTTGAATGCTAGTAATTGTCCTGTGATTCCCCCAAAAGCTAATTAAAGGCAAAATGTCTAACCAATTTGTTAATTTGTCAATTAACCATATGCATATGTTCTTTTAACTTTTTTCTTTGTTTTCTGGCAGGCACAGAAGCTTATAAGCATCTGCGGGTGGGAACCAAGATGGCAATTGAATGTTCAAGATTGTGAAGAGCACTCTGCTCAATCAGCTAGGAATGGAAATTCTCTTGGACGTAGACATGCCCAGGTCCAAGCTTCGCAAGACCATGGACCAGGCAAGAAAGCTCTTTCTGCTTCAGCTAGAAAAGACACTGAAAAGAGTAAAGTGTTGGCAAAGGAGTCTAGATGTGAGTTTAGATCACCCTTACTAGATTGCAGCTTGTGTGGAGCTACAGTAAGAATTATGGATTTCTTAACCGTCCCTCGACCTGCTCGTTTTCCTTCCAACAACATCGACATTCCTGACACGAGTAAAAAAATGGCATTGACTCGTGGAGTAAGTGCAGCCAGTGGAATTAGTGGTTGGATTGCAGCTGATGATTTGGATAAAGAACAAACTGAAGATCGTGATGAAGTAGCAACAACAAATGATGGAAAGTCATTGCCCAATGCAGATGTTGATTTGAATCTTACTATGGCAGGGGGTTTACCTTTTAATCAGTTTGGAAGAAGAGCATTGTGTGAAAATATCAATGAGGGAGACATGGGAAGGGATCTGATGATTGGGCAACCTGCAGGAAGTGAGGTTGGTGATCGTGCAGCTTCATATGAGTCACGGGGTCCTAGTTCTCGTAAACGGAGTTTGGAAATTGGTGGCAGTTCGGATGATAGACAACAACACTTAAGGGTGCAGCAGGCAGATAGCGTTGAAGGGACAGTCATTGATCGTGATGGCGATGAAGTCACAGATGGTAGACAATATTCGGCTGGGCCTTCAAAACGTGCTCGGGACTTGGATATCTTTGATACATATTGTTCACCGTATCAGAGAGATTATGGTGCCGGCCCTAGCCATTCAGTGGGTATTGACATCTATGCAGATGGCAGTAGAGCTGCTTCATTTCAGCAAAGAAATGACCACTTTGTAGGAATCCAAACAACTAGGGATTCAACACGTGCATCATCAGTCATTGCAATGGATACCGTCAATCATAGTGCAAATGAGGACTCTATGGAAAGCGTCGAAAATTACCCTGGAGATATTGACGATATTCAGTTCCCCTCTTCAAGTACATACGGTAATCTGGACATGAATGAAACATCAGAATTGAACTACAGCAATCTAGCTCAGCCAAGCTTTGGTGTCCGCACGGTTGCTGAAGTTATTCGTGAGGAAATTGGTGTTAGTAGTACAAATGATGGTGAAGAAATTTTCAATGCAGAAACTGTCACTGCTCAAGCCCGTGATGGCATTAGTTTCGGAATAAGTGGGGGAAGTGTTGGCATGTGTGCCAGTCATGAAGCTGAAATTCATGGAGCTGATGTATCTGTCCATAGAGCGGAGAGTGTAGTGGGTGATGTGGAACCCAGAGTTGAAGATGCCGACATTCAGGGCCAGACAGGTGAATCTACTCCAAATCCTGGGCTAATGGATGAGATTGTCCCTGAAGAAGTCAATAGAGAAGATCCTCGTGGTGATAGCCAGGAGATGTCTCAATCCCTAGGGAGGGCTGATAGTGGCTCAAAGGTTGATGGTTCTGCTAAGGCTGAATCTGTGGAAAGTGGTGAAAAGATAAGTAGGGGCAGCAAGTTCGTCCTAGAGACTTCTTTGCACCCTTCTCTTTCATGCAATGCTAATGTAGATTCTGGTTATAAAACAACAAAGCAAGAGGTCTCAAAGGCTGGAAAATCTTCATCTACAAATAATTGTGTGTACCAAGAGGCAGATTACATGGTAGCAAATGGAATAGGTAATTTTTCTTCATTTTTTTTTCCCGCTTCGCTAGTTGTTACTAGGCTACTAAGGCCCCCCTGTTTCTCTCTTTTCTAAGAACTATGTGTAGTTTATTGGCATTTTATTTGCCGTGTCACCATGTTGATTCCATTTCTAATTTGCTAAATTTTCTGATCTGCATAACTTATGGGTCTCCGCAGTTTTATATTGGGTTCAAACTATCTCTGTCTATATTCAGACTGACTACAGTTATTTGTAAACAATTAATGTGCACTGAATTGGAATTAGTGATGTCTTAGCTCGATTACTGAACATATTGTTCAGCATTTTGGAACTCGTGCATTGTTATGCCTATTTTATGTCTCATTAAATCATTCTGATCTATTCTTCTTTCTGCAGTACTTATCCATGTCATATTCCTAAGGTTAAAGTTTGCGTGTAATTATTTTTTTTTCACCCTCTTGTTGTACTTTTCTTTCTTTTTGCTAACAGTGATACGTTTACTTTTTTTCTTTTTTCCCTTTCCATTTGATTCAGAACCTCCTAAAGGGGAGAGCAATTATGAAGAAGTTGCAGAATTTGATCCAATTGCCCATCACAACCAATTCTGCCCTTGGGTGAACGGAAATGTTGCTGCTGCTGGCAGCAGCAGCGGTGGTTCTGGAACTAGTGCTGATGCAATTGCACTTTGTGGGTGGCAGCTTACTTTAGATGCCCTGGATGTCCTGCGATCCTTGGGGACTGTTGCAATTCAGACAGTGCAGTCTGAATCAGCAGCATCGCTGTACAAGGTTTTTCTTCTTTTTTATTTGTACTTTTTGGTACTTTTACTGTTACCTATCATATTGAAGTGAATGGATTTTTTGGGAATGTAGGCGTCTCATGCAGTTTTCTTGTTTATTTCTTGCCATACAACAACAACAACAACAAGAAGCCGTAATCCCAACTTAATTGGGATCGGCTATATGGATTTCACTTTTTCACGCAGCTCTGTTCGAAATTAGACTTTCATGAATGCCTAGATCTAGAATGTCTTTTCTAACTATTTCGGTCCACGCAATGCTTGGTCTACCCCTCCATCTCTTTGTATTAGGTATAAGAATGTCCTCCCAAGCACGAAATGGTGCTTCGAGTGGTCTACGTTGGACATGCTCATACCACCTCAAGCGGCCTTTGCGCAACTTATCTTCTATTGGTGCTACACCTATTTTATTACGAGTAACTTCATTCCTTAACATATGCATTTCTGCCACACTCATCTTAGTTATGTGTTGTCTTTTAATGGCCCAACATTCAATACCATATAACATAGCTGAGCGGATTACAGTCCTGTAGAACTTTTCTTTTAACTTAATAGGCATCTTGCCATCACATAAAACTCCCGTAGCATTCTTTCACTTAACCCACCATGCCTTAATCCGATGTTGAATATCATCTTCTATATCTCCTTCGTACTGCATTACAGACTTAAGGTACCTAAACTTCCTAGAAGCCCCAATCTCCAAACCATTTAAAGAAATTTCATCACTCTGATTACTTGAGTTTTTAAACCTATAATGCATGTATTCAGTTTTCATCATACTTAACTTAAATCCCTTCCTCTCGAGAGTTTGTCTGCACAGTTCTAACTTACGGTTGACTCTTTTCCTATGTTCATCAACTAAAACTATATCGTCCGCAAAAAGCATACACCAAGAAATTCTATCTTGGATTTCTCTTGTCAACTCATCCACTACGATGGTAAAAAGATAAAGACTAAGAGCAGATCTTTGATGAAGGCCGATCCGAATGGGAAACTCTGCTATGTAGCCTCCAACGGTTCTCACACTCATGACCACCCCATCGTACATGTCTTTAATTACCTTGATATACCTCACATGCACTCTTCTCTTTTCTAGTACCCACAATAAAATTTCTCTCGGTACCCTATCATATGCCTTTTCTAAATTTATAAAGACCATATGTAGGTCCGTCTTGACTTCTCTATACCTTTCCATCAGCATCTTAAGAAGAAAAATGGCTTCCGTGGTTGATTTGCCTGGCATGAAGCCAAATTGGTCACCTGAGATGGTAGTTGTGGCCTTTAATCTCCTTTCAATAACTCTCTGCTAAAGTTTCATAGTGTGGCTTATTAAATTTATGCCCCTATAATTGTTACAATTCAGCACATCTCCTTTATTCTTGAAGATTTCCTACATGGATCAGGTATATGCTTCTTCTTTAGTATCTCATTAAAAAGCTTAGTGAGCCACATAATTCTAACATCTCCTAACGCCATCCAAATTTCTATTAGAATATCATCTGGCCCACATTCCTTCCCCTTTTTAATTTTTCGTAGTGCAGTTTTTACTTCCGAGATTTTGATTTCTCTTGTATACATCACATTAGGTTCTCCTTGTGTCCTAAGATCGTCAACTCTATCGTATGATCATCATTATAAAGTTACTCAAAGTAAGTCTTCCACCTTTCTCTAATGTCTTTGTATTTTGTCAGAACTTAATTCTTATTATCCTTAACACACCTCACTTGATTTAGGTCCCGACACTTCCTTTCTCTTATCCTAGCTAGTTTATATATATCATTCTCTCCTTCTCTAGTCTCAAGTTTCCTATATACCTCATCTAAGTTAGGGGTGGCAATTCGTGTCACGTGTCGTGTTCGTGTTGTGTTTTGATCATTTCTTTCTAAATTTGCAGTCAACTGGAACACGGCCCGTGACACGAAATTTTTTAAAAACCGCAACACGAACACGACACGATCACTTCACGAGTTGACACGACACGACCCGTGACACGAAATTGACCCGTGAACCCGAAATTGACACGAAAATTGTATACTTTTATTTAGTTTTTTACATATTAAAAATAACTTAAAATTCATAACACACTAAATTACAATAACATCCATTGAAATTAAATAAATAATATTATAAGATTTTGAGTATAACTATTATGATATCACAAGTTCATAATAAAATTTAAAATATGAAATGAAAAATATATGTATTTTTTAATTTTTTACGAGTTTCGTGTCGTGTTCGGGTAAGGCGGGTCCGACCCGAAATTGACCCGTGTTTTTCGTGTCAATTTTAGGTCCCCTAACCCGTAAAATTCGTGTCGTTTTCGAGTCGTGACCCATATTGCCGGCTCTAATCTAAGTAAGTGGAACGAGCCTTACCAACTGCTCGCTTAGTTTCTTTCTTCGCTTCTTTATACTTATTAAAAGTTTTAACATCTTTATGTTTTGGTAAATCTCTATATAAATCCCTCTTGGTCCTAATAGCCTTTTGAACTTCCTCACTCTACTACCAGGCTTCTTTGGGGGCCTTTACCTCTAGATTTTCCTTGTACCTCATTTGTCACTTTTCTAATGCAGTATTTGCTTCACTTATATATGACCAAGTAGCCTTCTCTAACAACTTCTCTTTAAAGGCCAATTGTTTTATTCCCTTCAAATGCCACCAACGAGTTCGTGGGAGGTGGTTTATCTTAGTCCTTCTATAACAAAGCTTAATGCTCACATCTAAGATCATTAACCTATGTTGGGTGGCTAGTACTTCTTAAGGAGTTACTTTACAATCTTTACATAGAGAACTTTCTCTATACTTTGTGAGAAAATAATCTATCTGGCTCAAGTTCCTCCCATTCTTAAAAGTGATCAAGTGAGAATCTCTTTTCTTGAAAAATGTGTTTGTTATGATAAAATCATGTCGCAACGCAAATTCCAAAGTAGATTTTCCTTATTCGTTTCGAGCTCCAAAACCGAAACCACCGTGGATCCTTTCGAAGTTTTCCCTATCCTTACCAACATGCCCATTGAAATCTCCTCCAATGAAAATGCTATCCTCATTGTGTTAGGATCCTACGAGTTTAGCTAAGAATTGATTAACAAATGGTGTTCCTGGATCCAACTCACGTAGTTTTTATTACTTGAAATGGAGGATTACAACTCAAGGCTCATTGAAGTCCCTAGACTCAACGAAGAAGAAGAAGAAAATACTGAAATAAAGAAAGTAAGATAGTGGTGGATTTTCAAGTAATCCCCAGACTCCCAGGCAGCTCCTTCAGCATAGAATTCACCATCGCTTCCCTCCCCCCTAGTTTGGCTATTTATTCTCTTTGCTAGTAACTAACTCCTCACCCTCACTAACAGAATTCCACCTCCCGATGCTCATTGCTACCCTAAATTACCAGCCTGTCCCTGCCCGTCTCTCTTCCCCCTTCTAGCATATACAAACTTAAGAGGTGGGGACCTATCAATACCCCCGCCTCAAAGAAACACCTTGTCCTCGAGGTGTTAAGTAATCACAACCGTGTGACTCCACCTCCTTCCAATCTTGATGATGAGGTTGGATCTTGGAACGTCAAAGGTAACAGCAATTCCAAGTCTGCCCTTTGTGAAATTTCCAATTCCAATTCCTATCACGCCAATTCCTTTCAACCCCCCTTCTACCACCCCTATCTTTGTAGATCCGACCCCAATTGGACTGAAATAAGAAGACCCAGTCCAAATGTCATTGGAATTGGTGTGCATCCCAGCTTTAACGGCATTGGAACCAACCCAAATCACGCCGGATTTGAGAAACCCAGCCCTTGGCTCGCCAAAATATGCCCTAATTGCGTCAAAATCACAAAACTCAGCCTTAAGGGCATCGGAATTTATGGGTCCCCTTCCAATTCCGTCAGAATCTGCCTCCATAGCACCGGACCCAGCCCCTTTCACGCCGGAATTGCGAGGCCCAGTCCAAACCGGGCTGGAATCAACCCCAACCTTGCCGGAAACAACCTCAACAGCGTCAGAATCATGAGACCCGCTCCAAATTTGGCCGGAATTTTTGAAAACAACACCAATCTCACCGGGATCAGCCTTAATGGAGTCGGAACTGGAAGATCTGGTCTTGCCTTCGCCGGAATCCACATGAATCTCGCTGGAATCAGGTGACCCAGTCCTAACCCGGCCGGAATCTGCCCCAACCATGACGGAATCACGGCTGGGTTCCCTGTTCTGAGGGTACCCCTGCCATCCCAGCCCCGGAGCAAGCCCCTCTTCCTCTAACTCTGGCTCCCACTCCGATTCCCGTCACCGACCAAGCTCCGCCTCCCTCTCCCGACGGTCGCGACCTCCTTCCGCCCTCCTCCCGTTGTCGAACCAACCCTCGCGATGTAGATCCGGACCACCCAGCCCCAGATTGCAACGGATCTCGCACTCCTCCATGAGACCCACGTCTCTCCGGCGTCGGAACACCCTCTCGCGGCCTCGATCTTCGCGAATCGGCGCTTCCTGGCAAAGATCCGCCCGATTTGGCACCTCCACTCCGCCTGGGTGGTCGCGATCTAGGCTCTCCTCGCCCCGAGACACGCGATCTCGCCTCTCCCCGTCCCGTCGTTTGCCGTCGCGACCCCACTCGGCCTCCCCGGCCATCGGCCGCGCCGCCAGAAGTGCCTCTATCCTCCGCAGCGCCGCTTGCACGTCTTCCAACTGAGTCCGAACCTTCCCCAGTTCACCACGCAGCCCAAGCCACTTCTTCACGGATCTGCGGGAGGTTGCCTCTTGGACCACCGCCAGTCCCTTTTCCACCATAGTCACCCTCTCCGGATCCGCTGGTTTAGGTGCTATGGATCGGTGCTCTGATACCATTGTTAGGATCCTATGAGTTTAGCTAAGAATCGATTAACAAATGGTGTTCCTGGATCCAACTCACGTAGTTTTTATTACTTGAAATGGAGGATTACAACTCAAGGCTCATTGAAGGCCCTAGACTCAACAAAGAAGAAGAAGAAAATACTGAAATACAGAAAGTAAGATAGTGGTGGATTTTCGAGTAATCCCCAGACTCCTAGGCAGCTCCTTCAGCACAGAATTCACCATCGCGTCCCTCCCCCCTAGCTAGGCTATTTATTCTCTTTGTTAGTAACTTACTCCTCACCCTCACTAATAGAATTCCACCTCCCGATGCTCATTGCTACCCCAAATTACCAGCCTGTCCCTGCCCGTCTCTCTTCCCCCTTCTAGCGTATACAAACTTAAGAGGTGGGGACCTATCACATTGCCTATACGACACACTAAGTCATCCATGTCTTCCCAGGACTTGACTTTAGTTTCTGCATCCAATCTTATTTGTGGAGCGTAAGCACTAATTACATAGATGAATTTATTTCCTAGTACCAATTTGAGCATAATAATTCTATCCTCTATTCGCTTAATCTCAACTACGTCATCTTTCACAGTTTTGTCCACTAGAATACCAACTCCATTGCGATATACCATAACTTTTGTCATAAATTTCCAATCCTTTACTTTCTCTCCTGTCCACTTTGTTTCCTGTAAGCATAAAATGTTAATTCTTCTTCTTACCATAACATCTACTAACTCCATAGATCTACCAGTTAAAGAACCCACATTCCAAGTACCTAAACAAATTTTCCTATAATGGGCTAGCTCTGCCCCTTGCACACGTCCATGAATGTGCTTTGCTATGATTTGAAAAAAATTGAAAGCAAGTGAACGTTGTGATTACTGTTGCTTAATGGATGAATGTGCAAAGTATATCTTGTCCTTTCGAGTGGCAATTCCAAATTTTGCCATTGTTGACTGCAATTCCCAATTCCCTATCATGTCTTTCTTTGGATGCTTTTTTGTTACATTGATCTAGACATCTTGCAGGAGAATGAGATCCCAGGCATCATTGGATGCCTAGGTCCTTTTAAGAACTTTATTAGTAACTGACGATAATATTCTTGGTTTGTGCCAAGGTTTTTCCCCAAACGTGTTCTAATTTAATGTGAAGACATCTTAAATTTGAACACTATTCTTCGTGGAAAGTGGAAATGTCGGCGGTGCTGACTAGTTGTTCTGGGTCTACTTATTTTAGGAAAAAGCAGTAAGGAAGTAGTTATATATTTTTTATTTTCCTTTTGTCCGCTTCGGCGACATGAGTTCGTGTCTTTGCATTCGTGTCTTTGCATGCAATGCAGGAATTAATCTTTCTTTGTATTGCGGGAGTTGTCTTCATTGTCTTGCTTACAGTCTTTTATTTCATATGTTTGTTTCGCACATATATATTTTTATTCATGCCATAATATTTTGCTGACGATTCGCACTCTGTGTGACTCACTTCCCCATCTCTGAAACCAAAGGTTTTAACAGTTTTCTCGTTTGTATCATTTGCATTGAGTTTTATTTTTTCTTACAGGATGATCACCAAAATCCAGGTCAAAAGCTCCTTCGCCACCATTCTATGAACAGAAGCCATGGGCAACATTGATTGTTCATCTTATTATGGAGCTATTCCAGTTACCTGTAAGTGCATCTCAAAATACCTGCTTTCTAAAAGCACTACCAAACAGTTGTCTTTGGGTGAATCAATCTTCCTTTTCATTTGCTATTTTGTTGTTCTTGGTCTTGCAGCATATTGATTATGTTATCCGCTCCAATGATGCGCTATTCTTTGCAGGATCAGTTCAGAATCCAATCTAGAGATGAAATTCAAATTCAAGTTTGGCTAGCTGCAATGGGACAGCTGCTGGGAAAGTTCTAGCAATCTTGTCAAGTCATTTTCTTTGCATGGTAGGATATTATTTATGTTGTAACGATCTTAAATGCTTCATGCAGATAAACCTTCAGATCTGCTGTTTATTTTCTTTTCCCTTTTTCATGAATTTTTATACTTAATACTATCTAGTCAATTGGCGATGTGTCAGAGACTTGGAACATTTGATAAAGAATAGTTGAAGAATCATGTTTTTTTTTTTTTTTTTTTTTTTTGGGATACAAAATTTTTTCGTGCATTTGGCATTGCTAATAATGATGAGAACGGGATCTTTTAAGTGTCGTTTTTCTGTTTCTTCAAGATACGAGATGGTTTATGGTTTGCCTAGCAGCATTTTTTTTCCTTCTATTTTCTTATTTCCTAAGTGGTTGCTAAGCCTTTGTGTTGGTACTTGGTACCATATTGGCTATTGGTAAATCATGTCACCCCTCAGATTGGCTAATACTTTTCTGATTTAGAGATTTTGCTCTTCCGAGTTGGTGTTGTTCGGCTTCCAAAACTAAAGCACTTTTCTGCCCTACATTTGATTTCTAGCTGTCGGATATGCACCAAGTGAAATGGCAATTTTTATGCGGTTTTTCTTGAATGAGATTTGTTTTTATCCCCGTTATTGACTTGGAAAGTTACCCTTTTGGGGATTAATAGTGTGTGAGATTGTATTAGAAGTAGGAAAGTGATTACCATCTTGGAAGAACTGAATTCTAATGTGAGATGTTGGATTGCGATTCATGTTGCTGAGGCTTGGACAATTAATTTTCAACTCTCACAATATCCTAAAAGAATAGGAGCTTTTTACCGTAACGGTACCTCTCGTAGGTAGTAAGGCGTGTTTCTAAATATTAAAAGGTGAAGGAGATAAATACCTTTTAAAGTGTATGAGTTTGGATTTTTATCTTTTATTTTTAAATTAATTTTTTTAAGTCAAATAATTATATAAGTTAATAGAGTATTAATTAAGAATAAGAGATAAAAAAATTAAACTCATGCACTTTAAGGGTGAGTTTAATAATTTTCTCAATATTATATTAACACTTTTCAAAAAATAAAAGAAAATATGAAATTAACATCAAAGTAATAAAAAATTCCAAACTAACAAAATCTAGTAGCGTTTTAAAACAAAGTCCTATAATAAAGATATAGTTTTAAACGGAGTCCTATTATTAGGATATATTTTTTTAGGACTTGTCTACAATTTTTTAAGTGAGATGGTCCTTCCAATGTCATATGTAAAGGTGAAAATGTAACATGGTATTTATTTAATAAACATCGATTTTGAAAATATGAAGCACTGAGATAATTATCTCCGACAATTATTGCATTTTTTTAAGGTCCGTTTGGCATAGCTTTTACTTTTTTCTAGTAGAAGAAGAGAAGTAAAAACTGTAGCTTTGTAAGTGTTTGGAATAAAGAGCTTAATGGGTCAAAATGATTTTAAAATTTTCTAATAAGCAATAAAAGTATTAGAATAAAGTTTATAATGCCCTAATTAAACTCTAGTACAATTTTTAAAGTCTATTCAGAAGTGCTCTTTTTAAAAGTCACAATTTTTTATTTTAACTGAAAGTTCTTCTGAAAAGTCAATTTTTAACAAATCATTTAAACACTTCAAGAAGCAACTTTTAGACCTAGGAAGTCAAAAGTAGCTTTTAAAAAGCTCTCCCAAACATGCCCATATTATGTTAAATAACTAAATTAGATGGTGTTAACATTTTTTAATGTGTGTTGCGTTAGATAATTTCATGTTATGTTAAATAATGTCTTGTTACGTTAAATAAATGTCATATCACGTTTTTATTTTTAAGCGTACAATATGAGAGATTATCCGACTGAAAAGTTGTAGACATGACTTATTTTTTTATACCATATTGTAGAATTCTAAAAATATACATTCTAATAATTCTTAAAAAAAATGTATTAAGACATTGTAGCAATATTTTTTTTCTTTCTTTCTTTTTAATTTTTATTTCTCCAATTTACGTGCTTACTAGAATTAGCGTTGAGTGTGGAAAAGAGCAATTGAATTCCTTAATACTTCCATAATGGTAATAGGGGAGCCTCTACGGCTTAAAAAAATCTACTGATAGAATATATTCTATCATATTTGACCGTTAGATTAATTTTTTAATGAATTATAGCGCATTGTAAAAAATTATTCTACCGGTGGATTTCTTAGGAGTCTCACACTAAACCGGGTAATAATCAACTTATTATTTCGCATCAAATGTACTACTTTGTGGCCAGAATTACTTGGAATAGCGAAGAATCTCCCCTCTTGGAAGTTATTTTACCCAATCAAATCCACAAAATCCAGTCTCACCCAATCATATCCAAGCACCTTGTCCACGTGTCAAATCCAACACATACAAAAAACCAACAACAATAATAATAACTCATTTTAACTCCAATTCTCTTTCCCCAACCAACAAACTACCATGACAACACCAACAACAACAACTCTGCAAATCCAAATGCAAATGCAATCCTCTTTATGCCTGTCATCCTCCCCAAAACCATCATCATCATCATCATCATCATCATCATTTTCTCTCTCAAATTCCCAGCTCCCAAACATCCCCATATCAAAGCCCCCCACAAACACAAAGAGCCTCCTCCAAAAGCACCCACTCTACGCCCCAACTCACTCCAACCTCTCCCTCCAAACCAAAGAGAAAATCCTCTGCCTCGAAATCCTCGGCGTCGACTCCGGCAAAGCCCTCTCCCAAAACCCCGCTCTCCGCTCTGCCTCCCTCCACTCCATCAACTCCGTCATCTCCTTCCTGCGCTCCAAAGGGATCCACCACAAAGACCTCCCCAAGATCCTCGGAATGTGCCCCAAAATCCTCACCTCCGACATCATCTCCGACCTCATCCCTGCCTTCAATTTCCTATCCGACAACCTCAAAATCCCCGACCGCAATCTCCGCAAGGCCGTCGTAAAAAACCCGAGGCTACTTGCCTCCAGCGCCCAGGACCAGCTCAAGCCTGCGCTCTTCTACCTCCAGCGGCTCGGATTCTCCGACCTCGAGGCGTTGGCGTACCGCGATTCCGTCCTCCTCGTGTCGAGCGTGGAGAAGACGCTGATTCCGAAGCTGAGGTTCCTGGAGAGCTTAGGGATGTCGAATGAGGAGGCGGTCGGGATGGTGCTGAGATGCCCGGCGCTGTTCACGTTCAGCGTGGAGAACAATTTCAGGCCCAAGTTTGAGTATTTCGCGGGAGAGATGAAGAGGAGACTGGAGGAGCTGAAGGAGTTCCCGCAGTACTTTGCGTTCAGCTTGGAGAAGAGGATAAAGCCGAGGCATTTGGAGGTGGTGGAGAGAGGGGTGGAGATGGGTCTGCCATTGATGCTCAAGACCACTGATGAGGAGTTTAGGGAGCTTATTAGTCAAGAAAGTGGATGAAATCAATATCAGTCTAGATTTTTTTTTTCTTTTTTTTTTGTAATGGGGTAAAGACTCAAATATCTTGTGTAATTAAGTAAATTATTATTGTAAATGGGCTTTTTACAATGGGGTCGCTGTAGACTTTCTTAACATTAGATTCGTTGAAAAACTAAATTAAAATTTAAAAATTATTCCAAGCTAAAAGCTTAAAATAAAGCTCTAATATTGTGTGTGTATATATATATATATAAAATATATAATATATATATATATTATTGTGAGGAAAAATATATCTTGTCACGTTGGACGACGACCGAGCTCCACATGGCCATTACCTGCCACATTAACCAGCGATCGGCGTTCAAAATTAATTGTCATTCAAATGGTGAAATGGTCGACCGTATAATGTATTTTAAGATAATTTTTAAATACAACAATAGTATGCACGCTATCGTCGATCCTACACGCAGTCGAGGCGTGTATGATCTGGAATCCCAAGCAAAATGACGGTGCCATAGAGGGATCAACCGGGACGAAGGCCTCGGCATTGGCTTGTTGAAATACAATAGAGACGCAGAGGGCATGACGCTTAGCTTTTGACCCAGATCCCAAGAGTAACCTCTGAGGTGGCATGGGGAAAATCCTTAGGTTACTTCTGGGTTTGGAGAAAGTCAGTAGCAAAGAAACTGATTGTCTGCCTATAAACCACCTAAAACAGACCAATGGAAGTCACGGAAGATCTGCATAGCCGCATTAGTGGACAAAGTAGCTGAATGAACAATCCAAAAGGTACTAAAAGGCTACAGTCTAGGCAGGTAGGATAATAGGATACTCGAGAGAAACCGCCAAATAATCCCCTGTCACGGTCCACCCAATATGTAATCTGTGAGATATAAAATGGGCAAGGCCCCAAAGGGAGAAAGGACCCCTTGTAATCTAAAAAGGGGGAAAATAGTAGAAATTTCTCCAAATGGATGTAGCTCTCATTATAGAGTGAACCACTATAATTTCTAGTGTTCTACTGGATTATTTGCACTTGCGCATCCATTCAAAAAACACTTCAAAGACTCACGCACAACCGGTTGCACTTTTCTGATAATATAATCAGTTTTAGCCAGTAACTTGACTGATTACTGGGCAGTAATCCGGCGTAAACTTATTTACGAAATTTCACCGTCAGGCGTCAATATATATATATATATATATATATATATATGCAAAACCGAGTAGCCATGATATCATTATGCGCCGCGATGTATGTTTACAATTGAATCAGCCTGTTATGATTCTTCCAGCGACGAAAAATTAAACAGAATTGCTGCCCGTGGACATATGCAAGAAATCAACGGTATAAACAAGATTTTTAAGATTGCAAAATAAAGATTGATCTCCACATTGAGAATTTCTTAGATTGGCTACGTAATGCAGAAAACTCATTCAATTGTATAAATTTCGACCCCGAAAAAGAAGTTAAATTGATTGCCTACAAGCTTAGAGATGGAGAAGCAGCTTGGTGTGAATAAGTGCAAGTAAATCGGAGATGACAAGACAAACAACCTATCCGAGCATGGTTTAAGATGGAAAAAGTTGTTAAAGGCCAGATTATCGTTTGATTATGAGCAAACACTTTACCAACAATACCAAATTTGCTGACAAGGGATTAGATCTATAAGTAAAAATAGAAAAGAATGTTGTAGGGTGAAGGCAAGAAACAATCTGAATGAATCTAAAAATCTGCAAGTGGCCGGTAGATTAAAATTGGTTATTCAAGATAAAGAAATGTTGCAATTAAGTTTGGAGTCTCTCATACGCTGTCAATTTGTCATGTAAAATTGAAGGGCAACTTAATAGACCTTTGCTTGGATCACCGGCCAACTAGAAGACTCTCAAGAGCCTGGACAACTCAATCGAAGGCCAGCCACACATGCTGCCTTGGAAAATGGTACGAAGTTTCAACTTTATTCAAGTTCACGTTTTTTTAAATTTCAACTTTATTCAATTTTACTCAACTTTATTCAAGTTTTAACTTCAACTCAAGTTATAACTCAAAAACTACACTCAAATTACACTTCAAAAAAACAACCCCTTAGTTTTTGTTCAACCCATCGCCTCAGTTTCGGAACGAAAAAGATACTAGGAATACTGAAAGCTTTGGACAACAAGGAAAGAGGACTGCTACAGACGACCTGTGCAAGCCCTAATCTAGGCAAATGCTTTAGGTGGAATCAACCTGGACACCAATCACACGAGTGCCCCAGTGGAAGGCTGATGAACATGATAGACGAAGAACAAGGCAATGAAGAAGAAAATGGTCAACACTAAATTTATATGATACAAGCTTTGAAGTTGAAGTCTAAACCACATCCGGCTCCATATATGATAGCTTAGATTAAGAAGGGAGCTGAAACCATTGTGAATTAAGAGTGTCGGGTTCCTTTCTCAATCGGAAAATTTTACAAATTAGACGAGGTCGTCTATGACATTATTGATATGGATGCATGCCATATTTTACTGGGACGCAGATGGATATTTTAAACTTACTTTTTGAGTGTATTAGTCGTGTATGAATTGAGGAATTTCATTTAATTAATAGCTCTAGTAGTTAAAAAAAAAAAAAAAAAAAAAAAAGGAGGAATATCATCCAACGACAACAACTTTTACCACCATTACCTCCGAGTTAATCAATTGATAAGCTTTTTGAGGTAGAGACGGATGTCAGTTAAGGCATGGAGTTGTACTTTCTCAGGAGGGTAAATCCTACAGTAAACCTTTTATTACTATTTTTTTTTTTTTGGTATACAACATTAGTTTATGGGTCTAGATGTATATCCTACCTTTGTAATATCACGCATAACATAAAGTGAAATTGTATTTAATAGACTACCTTTTTAAATCATTAAAAGTAAATAACCTATTTACCAATCATCAGAATTTACTAGGCATTTTTAGTTTTAAACTTTTTGTTTTCTAATTTTACCTCTTTCATTTGATAAATAAAACATTTACATAGTGTTTATAATTTTTTATGTTTACCTCATTATTTTATCACTTTCTTCCCGTAAAATAACTTTAATTTGACTTATTAATGGTATGACATGAATTTTTAGTCTACTAGTAGGAACTGTTATGTTTAATTGTTGGATTATTTTTTAAGAGTCAATTACGTGCATGTCTACATATAGCACGCAATACATAACCGCCCTACTCCAAATTAGATAGTTGAATAACTAGAGGTGAAAGTTCACGCTGTCCGGCCGGCCGACTCATTATTTTCACTGAGCCGGTCTTAAAAGGAGGAGGGTCTGTCCAACTCGGCTCTAAAGCCCAACGGGCCTAGGGCCGGCCTGAAATTTACAAGGTATTTTTTTAAAAAAAAAAATTAAGAAAGATGAACTTTCCCGGCTCCAATAAGGTTTCGGGCTTAAAACCTAGGCACGGCTCGACCCAAACACTTAAGCGGCCCAAACCAAGTCTGGGCCCGGCCAATAGTGCCGGCCCGCTTAGCCCGGCCTAAACTTGCAACTCTATTAAAAACTAATCCTACTGTTGAAACAAAATAGCTTTCTCCATCATAAATACACCATTTTCTATTTGTTTAAGATATAATTTATTCCAAATTTAAAATATTATTTATATTTTCAATTGATTTTTTTTAAATTAATTAAAAAATCCCGCTTTTTTTCAAGATTCTCACCGTCAGACTACTCAATGCGTGCATTAGATCTAAAATTTGTTCCCACCGCTGTCAGAGTGCTCTCACCGTCAGACCACTCAATGATGGTGATACTGGTGAGATGTTGGAAACTCCAAAGAGAGAACGTTGAGGAATAGATGGAGATCATGACATTGTCATGTTGAAGAATCGCGAAGAACAGACGCGGTTGGGATGACATGAGGAGAATTTGTGACTTCGTGATGATTTCAAGATGGTGCTGGCAGCACTAACCAACTATCTATAAACTTCTTTCGAGAAGGAGATTGACGTCACGGTCTAGACAGCAAGGTTGAAGTGGCCGGTGCTTTAATAGCGATAATGAGGATCAATAGTCGAGGAGGATCCATATGGTGGTCAATGAAAACCAATGTGCCAAAAATACCCCACGACTAACAATAATCCCATCCTTACATCATATTTGATTCGACAACCTTCCTCCTTTATGGATGGCACAAACCTCATCCTGAATTGAGCATTTGACGACGAGCTTGCAGAAGAAATTTGATGACCACTTTTCTTTTTTCATTTATTCATTTTTTACTAATGTTCATGTCTTTATACAACGTGAAATTGTATCTCCACCCTATTAAAACCAATCTCATCATAATTACATGACAAAATTTTCTATCTTGAATCGAAATTTAACAAAATTTCAAATAAACTGTATAGAAGCAAAAACTTTATAGTAATTATCATAATGTTATCGCATGTTGTATTATATAATTATATAGTTATTATCTTAATGGTATCAAAATTTTCCGTTCTTATAATACTTCAATGTTTAAATTTTGCTACATGTTTTGGTCATTGACACCATTATGATTTTTGAATGGACATTTTTACCATCACTAGTTGAAGAACACGTGCTATACACGTAGAGTAATTGTATATTAAATTTTAATTACCGTGTTATTAGTAAAAGCATATAAAATCCTAAAAAGAAATTAAAATTAAAAAAAATTAAGTTTTAGGGTAAATAGCTAAAAAAAAAGGGACTAAAATGAAGGAGAAAATATCTTGGAGAGCAAAAAAAAAAAAAAACTACTGTAGCACTGTAGCATTTTAACTAAAATGACGCAGTTTTAGTTGAAAAATGCGTGAACAGTGTTCAGGATTCTCACTTCTTAGTTGAGTGGACATTTTTACTGTCATTACTTGAAGAAGAAGTGCTAAGCATGTGGAGTAATTGTGTATTAAATTTTAATTATAGTATTATTATTAAAAGCATATAAAAACCTAAAAAGAAACTAAAATTAAAAAATAAAATTTTAGGGCAAGTAGTGAAAATTTGGACTAAAATGAAAGGGAAAAATATCTTGGGGAACAAAAAAAAAACTACAGTAGCAATACTGTAACATTTTTAACTAAAACGACGCCGTTTTAGTTGAAAAACGCGTGAAGAGTGTTCAAAATTCTCACTTCTTATATACATATATAGATATATGATCCGTTTAGTTTGCTGATTCGAGTTTTTAATTCGAATTGAGATGTGACTATTTCTGAGAGCTTTTTACTATAATAAAACTCAAATTTTAAACTCGAATAGGTGAAATAAACATACCTATAAATTATTAATAACAATAACTGAATGACTTCCTTTTTATTTTTTTGACGCAGCCTTTGAACCAGAAATATGATTTCCTTTTCTTTGAAAAAGTAAAAATAGAAAGATAATGCCTTAATAAACTAGCAAACAAAAAAAAAAAATAGTGATTAGATGAATGTCAACACTAACGTACGTTAGTTACTCTTAAAGAAGGAGAAAAAAAAAAGAAGTTAAAAAAGTTATTATCACTCAAGAATGGCAAATACCAATATTGAAAAAAAAAAAGAAAGAAAAAGCAGTGTATTAGTCTCATGATTTCATGGCCGAGCTTCGCCGTCGTCATTAGATTACACAAAAACAACTCTACTTAAACCCCCCACAAAGTCGGTGCTTTTCATTTGACCTTCCCAAAACAGAATTGCTCTCTCTACCCTCTCTCTTTCTCTCTCTTTAAAGTCCCTCTCTTCTTCCCGAAACCCCGCCGCCCCAATTTTATCGGCGGGAGAATGTTATTTTCTCGGGGATTTCGTCAGATTCCGAGAAGCAGTTTGACGGGAATCTCCCGGTGGCTCCTCCCGCACCGACCGGAGCAATCTCAGACCAGTCCTCAATGTCTTCGAGAATCTGCTCACAAGGTTGTTATAATCCAATCGTTTCCTTCATTTGTCGAATTGAAATTTGTTTTTGTTTGATTTAATGGATTTGGTTTGGTGTTGTTCGATTAGTAGATTTTTGGCGGTTATGGAGAACCTAGTTATTGGGGATTGCCTGCGTTGCATAGTTCTAGGTATCAAGTTCATCACCAGAGTAGCTCCATAGTTGAGGTACGGTATATGTCTTTTTATTTATTTTTGAGTAATTTCGTTTTGTTTTTGTTCATTTTGTAAGTTGTTATTAGCTCAATTGGGATTCGGAGAACTTGATTTCAGGAAGAACTAGACCCGTTTTCGCTTGTTTCGGATGAACTTTCGCTTGTCGCAAATAGATTGCGGGAAATGGTAGTTGCTGAGGTATCTGTTTGATCGTTTTTGCTGAGCAATTAGCTGATATTCATTGAATGTGTATGTTTAAAGTTTTGATTTTGAAACCATATGAATCCTGGAAACGGCCTCTCCTTCAGGGGTAAGGCCGCGTACATATGGGATTGAGCTTTCCTCCGAGCCTGTCATAGTACGGGAGCCTCTTTGGCACTGGAGTCCGCCTTTTTTTTTTATGAACTATGAAGCTTTCTGGTTATAGTTGGATCCTAGATTTTTTGAGATTCCATCTCATACAGGTTCCGAAGCTCGCTTCAGCTGCCGAGTACTTCTTCAAAATGGGGGTGGAGGGGAAGAGATTTCGTCCAACGGTAAGCTTTAGTTGCTATGGAGGATTTTACAGTTTACACTCTATAAATGCAATGTCAATAAGTTGTTCCGGAAATATGTTCATTAGCTTGAAAGAATGGTTGCTAGTAATATGTTCTTTGTTTCATGTAAAACGGATTGCTTTGTTTCTATGATCGACCTTTTAGAAAGACGGTGTTACCAAGCGTTTGGGTATTCTTTATAGATGTAGTGTTGCTTGTTCTCCTTGATTTAAACTCCTATGTACCTTCCAAAGGTTTCTTTAGCTGTAAGTGCCGTGTGAATATATGACCAATCACCCAACAGATTAAATGGTGTCGTATGTTTGGGTTATATATCTAAAATGCTCTTGAAAATATTTCCGCTATGGAATTCTTCAATTTCAAAAGTTGATTCTACTTTTGAACAAAATCATGTCCATTTACATCTATAGTGAATTCTTGTTACATTAAGAACAATAGTGGAATACAAGAATATCAAGCATTTTGAGAAATAAATCTATCAATTGTACATGATGCTTTAATATTAGTTGGAGTCGATGAACAATCTTCTTCTATCAACATGAGCGCGTCTTATCTTTTACACATGTTTTTGCAAACAATATGAATGCTAACTTGTATGCTCCTATTTATGTCATATTATTCTTTCATATATGCAGGTTTTATTATTGATGTCAACAGCTTTAAATGTTGCCATACCTGAGCCTCCTAAAGCGCTAGGTGATACTTTAACACCAGAACTGCGTACAAGGCAGCAATCTATAGCAGAAATCACAGAGATGATCCATGTTAGTTATTAAGAAATTTCTACATCTTTCATTAAATTTGTTTATAACATATCCACTCTTTTTGACTCTAAGAAAAATTAACTTGTACTGATTGGTGAAAAATCACAAGGTTGATGTTTTCAGTCGTCCTGTTATTGATAATAGCCAAAGGATATGATATTGACATTCTTTTCTTGTGAGACAGAATGTGCCATGAGTTGCTCTTCCATTGGTGCTTAGGAAAGCTGAAACTAGCCAGCCTGTTGGCTTTCCAGTTGAAAGCCTAATCATGTTTTTGCTTTTAAAGAAAAATATTTCTCATTGCTATTACTATATTATTCTAACTATATTGTTATCTTAGGTGGCAAGCCTTCTACACGATGATGTTTTAGATGATGCCGACACTAGACGTGGTGTTGGTTCGTTGAATTTCATAATGGGAAATAAGGTTTAGTTCTCATTCTCTCTAATTCATCGAGTTCTCTATGTATATGATTGTGTCTTTTTGTTGCATCTATGCTTCTTTTTCAAAGTCCTTTCCTTAGGAACTGCTATAAATAACAATAGTTAAAAAGAAAGTGTGTTTTCCTAATTCAAGCTTGTTTTCTGGAAAATAATTTTTTGTAATTCTTGGTTGCTTGTTTTTGGATTGTGGAGATGCGGACAACGGTCTTGTCTGTGTTGTTCTTACATGAGATAGGTGTTTTAGAACCAAGGAGGGCGGAAAACTTGATGATCCATACTTTGTTGGCTTACTCTAAAAGAATTATATTTCATAGGATTGCGACTTCTTCTGTTTTTTATATTTCTTAGTAAGTCGTTTCCTAGAATCATGTTTGGTTTCTGCGCTGTTTTACTTTTACTTTCCTTAATCTTTTAGGCTTTGAGGATACCTTATCCTCTTGTACCCAGTACCCATAATGATTTTCATATCAATGGAGGTGTTTTTCTTATTTTATTTTTTTATTTCTGCTTGATCAACATTTTGTTTCTCTCTCATCTGTGCAACGTGTTGGCAAAGCCGATCGTGCTCCATTTTGTTTGTGATCCCCCTCCTTCCTCCAAGGAGAAAAAGAGGAAAAAAAAAAAAAGCTTCTCGCCACATTGTCAAAAATTCCTCCTCTCTATTAATTATGCTTTTGTTGAAATAGCAAGGGTGATTATAACTACCATATAAAATTGATGTGTATGTATTTTGCGCTAATGTCATAGTTGCTTCCCCTGCCATTTCTCTAATACAGGTAGCAGTATTAGCAGGAGATTTTCTGCTTTCTCGAGCTTGTGTTGCACTTGCAGCTTTAAAAAACACTGAGGTATGTAGTGAATTGAGTATTGATGCAGAAGTGCGTGTATTTTCTGTGATTATTTTAACAAATTCTTTTCGTTTTCTGTGTCTGTAGGTTGTAACATTACTAGCAACGGTTGTAGAACATCTTGTGACAGGTGAAACCATGCAAATTACAACTACCTCTGATCAACGTTGTAGGTAGAAACTTTGATGCTTTTCTTGTATAGAGTAGTAAAAGATGTTGGTATTGTTATTTACTATTTATTGGTATAACGTCAGTTTATGCATTCTTTTCTTATTTTCAGCATGGAATATTATATGCAGAAGACCTACTACAAAACTGCATCACTGATTTCAAACAGTTGCAAGGCAATTGCCCTTCTTGCTGGGCAAACTACAGAAGTTGCAATGTTGGCGTTCGAGTATGGCAAAAATCTGGTTTGTGAGCTCTTGAAATTCTTTCTATAATGATGTGAAGCAAGCTTAATAATCGGTTTTTTCCCCTTCTTCTGTGATAGGTAGCTTAGCATTGAGGTCTTTGATGAGTTTATTATTCATGACATTCCTATCAAAAGAAGAGTGTATTTTTCATGTCCTAAGAAAAGAAGCATCTAGTGATGAGAAATTAGTGATGACCTACACAGCTTTTTTTCATTCCCGGTGTCGAGTAACGCAACCAGCGTTTTATAGTTTTTTATACTCTTGATGAACACGTGAATGACATCAAAGATGTTTTTATTTGAGACTATTCAATGAGGAAACCAAACAAAACCAAACTGCTGTAAGTCAAGGAGAACAGTTGTCCTGAAAGTTCAGGAATTGAATGGATGACCAAGATCAATCATATGGACATATTTTTTTTTTTGCCTCTGCTCTTCTCATAAAAGAGCGCTTTCTGCACAATCTACTTCGAAGAGAATTTTATTTAGTTATGCGGGTTAAGTAACATCTTGGGTAAAAGCTGCCATAGAGTGTGGAAGTATACTATTTTCTGTTAAAAGTAAGAGGCTTTCATCTGTGAGGATCATCACTGACAGATTTGTGGAAGGCCTAAACTTATAATCTTTTACTTATATGTTATACAAAAAACATCATGATCGTTGTTTCCTTTAGTGCCACCTGCATTCTTTGTGTTACCTTTGGCATAGATATGGAGATATTATTTATAACCTAAATTGACTTGTCTCTTTATATTTTTCTTCCAGGGGTTAGCATATCAATTGATAGACGATGTTCTTGATTTCACCGGCACATCTGCTTCCTTGGGAAAGGGCTCTTTGTCTGATATCCGTCATGTAAATCATCTGCTCTTTGTGTGATTTTCCTTCTCTGATCCCTTTAACGGGTCTTTAAGTTGTAGAAAGTTATTACAGCTTATTGAATAAATCATGACGGACAATCTCATTGATAATTTATATTTTACTATTTACTACAAATTTTGTTTTTAATTTTTAATTAAAGATAGTCTTGCATGACAATAGTCAATAGGCATGTACCCCTAGTAACCATGTCACATTTAACCTTCCTCCTGCCCCAACTTCAGAAAAAGAATTGTTTTCTCCAGATCCTGTGAAGGGCAAATTAAAGAAAGAAAAGTGACTGGTAAGAGCTATCAGGAGGCTTACATCCTTGAATTTATTTGTCCAGAATGAACATTTGTGTATGTGATGTTACTTGTTATTAGTAAAAATAACGCATAGAAGTGCTGAGAATGTAGACATTATCTGCTGGCCAAATTTGCATTAGTAACTCAGATAATGCAAGAAACTAATGTGATGGTGAAATTAGATATCTTGTATGTATGGTAATACTTTTGTTCTTGCTCAAGGATTATAGTAAAATCCTTGCTTTCATTTCTTCTCATAGTAAGAAAAGGGTTTGAATAGAGAATGGAACGATTTTATTGAGTTGACAAGAAAGTTCAGATGCCTTCACTCTGTTCATGTTGCATGCCGGTGATACAGTCAACAAAAATGTGCAGCTTTCCGTTGTTTTCGTTTTTTTTCTTTTTTTTTTTCTAAAAGAGAAATAATTAATGTGTTTTGCTATGCCATAATGGATCTTTGTTGTCTGGAACTTCTAGGAAACTAATTTATTGTGGCTATCATTGAGTTTAGATTGTTGATGACAGCTTTCATTGTTCCTTCTAATGCTGCTAACAATCTGGTTTCATGTAAAAAAAATTGGCTTAGGCAAATCCATGTTATTATGTATTACCTGGCTTCTAGTGTATGTTGATATGTTACCTATCAAAATTTTGTAGGGAATCGTGACGGCTCCGATATTGTTTGCCATGGAAGAGTTTCCTGAGTTGCGTGCAGTTGTCGAGGAGGGGTTTGACAACCCTTGTAATGTCGATCGGGTAAGTTACTTTTTATTTACGACAGAGTTTCCCATTCGGATCGGCCTTCATCAAGGATCTGCTCTTAGTCCTTATCTTATCACCATCGTGATGGATGAGCTGACAAGAGAAATCCAAGATAGAGTTCCTTGGTGTATGTTTTTTGCAGGTGATATAGTTTTAGTTGATGAACATAGGGAAGGAGTTAACCGTAAGTTAGAACTGTGGAAACAGACTCTCGAAACGAAAGGATTTAAGTTAAGTAGGACGAAAACTGAATACATGCATTGTAGGTTTAGTAACTCAAGTAATCAGAGTGATGGAATTTCTTTAGATGGTGTGGAGCTTGGGGCTTCTAGGAAGTTTAGGTACCTTGGGTCTATAGTGCAGTACGAAGGAGATATAGAAGAGGATATTGAACATAGGATTAAGGCAGGGTGGGTTAAGTGGAAGAATGTTACGGGAGTTTTATGTGATGTCGAGATGCCTATTAAGTTGAAAGGAAAGTTCTATAGGACTGTAATCCGCCCAGCTATGTTATATGGTAGTGAATGTTGGGCCATTAAGAGACAACATATAGCTAAGATGAGTGTGATAGAAATGCGTATGTTAAGATGGATGAGTGGCCATACGAGAATGGATCGTATAAGGAATGAAGTTATTTGTTGCAAGGTAGGTGTAGTACCAATAGAAGATAAGGTGCGCAAAGGCCGCTTGAGGTGGTTCGAGCATGTCCAACGTAGACCGCTAGAAGCACCAGTTCGTGCTTAGGAGGACATTCTTATACCTAATACTAGGAGAGAGAGGGGTAGACCAAGAATTACGTGGACCGAAGTCGCTAGGAAAGACATTCTAGATTTAGGCCTTCAGAAAAGTTTAATTTCGAACAGAGCCGTGTGGAAAAGTGAAATTCATATAGCCGACCCCAATTAAGTTGGGATTAAGGCTTGTTGTTGTTGTATAATCTGGGGTGCTGGTCCAATTTGAATGTTGAATCAACATTCGACTTGGAGAATATTCTAACTCATCTTGTTTTGAGATATCTTCACTCCATTTTGTGAGTTTGTGACTTTGTACGCACAACTTACACTAATTTGCAGCTATTATATTGTAGTTATTTAGTTTTATTGTTGTTTATATGGTTACTTTTCTGAAATTTTTATTACATGTTGGCCATGTGTCCAGTTTGGAAATATTTCTGAGGCTTGCAATGATGATGATAATGAGTCTATAGTCCATTTTAGAAACTACCTTCTGAAAATACAGGCTCTCGAGTATCTTGGTAAGAGTCGTGGCATTCAAAAGGCGAGGGAGCTAGCAATAAAGCATGCAAACCGAGCTGCAGAGGCGATTGAGTCTTTGCCTGAGAGTGACGATGAAGATGTAAAAAGATCAAGGAGGGCACTTATAGATCTCACTCAAAGAGTCATTACAAGAACCAAATGATAGAAAAGACTAGTACACAGTCCACAGAATAAGAGCATAGTGTATGATGAATTTGTCTTAATTTTTCTGATTACTGTTTCAGTCAGGTGAGGGACAATTTCCCCTCTTTCATTTTCATCATACATTCTTTCAATTTTTTGTTTTTGTTACATAGTTCGCACTTTCATGTATATTACAAGTCTGGCAGAGTAGAAAGAACACTCATTATTTATTGATCCTCCGTATCCCGCTTGAATGATGCCTTGCTCTTATATTCTGCAACTTTCTGTCTGACTTGGTCTGTCTTGATGTATGATGGTAGTAAATTTTGTCCATGCCTTGCTCTTATATTCTGCAACTTTCTGTCTGACTTGGTCTGTCTTGATGTATGATGGTAGTAAATTTTGTTGGACAAGAAATGAAGGTAGTGTTCTCATGAGATGAGCTTCTTGTCATTGTATAACCTCTGTTAGCATGATAAAAAATATTGGATAACCTCTGTCTGACTTAAGGCCTCGTTCGTTTTGCTCTTTCAAGTTAAGAATTTGAGTTAAAAAGTGAATTCATATAAGAGAATAATTAAATTTAAATTTTTGTGAGAGAAAATACTATAAGAAAAACTTGAATTGTGATTCGAATTGTCAAAACGAATGGATATATCGTGGTGTTTTCTTCTTCTACATCTGCTTGACTTGCCCCGAACAGTCGGATGTAATGACACAATCATATGAGATTCTGGAGTACAAGTCAATTTTTAGTTTTTGGTACTTGGCAAATGCTTGTGATTAATCTTGTTCTATTCCCGTCATTAGTCTTGTCCTTCTCTGACTTCTGAGTGGAGAGAGAAGGCCTTTGAGATGCCCTCAATGAGCCCAATTCATGAACTTCATTTTAAGATAGATTTGGGTGATAGACCAAAGTGGTATTATCAGCCTGGCTGTTGATTGAGGTGCGCATTGGATTCCATTTTTTAGTATGCAAAATATTCAAAGTTGCGACCAAACAAAAAGAAGGTGTACATAATTATGAAATACAGCTAATCAAAATGATGGATGACTACGCAATCGTTTCAGTAAAATGAAAATGATGTGATCCATAAGAGGACATCATGATCCGGACGCACGACAATTTGAATGAATGGAAAAAGGTTACTATCCGAGGGACAGAGAAATAGTCAAACATCATGGCGTTTTATTATATCATTATAAAAAATAACACCATCGGTATCATCATGATCATGAACACTCGTTTGTTTGGCTTTCAAATCGACAGATCTTCCTACGCGTGACTTTGTTGGTCTGTGAGTAATGAGTGTAACATTGCAAGAAGAGGAGGAGACTGACTAGCATGATTTAGATTTTTTTTTTTCCTTAGCAAAACAATGATAATAAAGGTTAATCTCACAAATGATCTTTCAGCTTTATTCTCAATTTCATTTTAATTCTTAATTTTTAAAACGTCTTACGTTTGTCTTTAAAGTTCTATTGTATTTCAATTTTGGTTTTTTTATTAGTTTAGTGTTAAATATTTGACTGAATTTATAGGAAATTAAAGACAAAAATTGAAAACAAATAAAGTTTAAAGACTAAAACAATACAAAAAAAAAGTTATTTTCATAAATAGTCTAAAAATTTTAGTTATTTTTAATTTTGGTCCTTAATTTATACACATTCTATCAAATTTTAACGTCTACTATACTTAATGACCAAAGTTAAAATAAAATAAAATCTCAAAAATAGTTACATGTAAAAAGTAATGATCAAAGTAGAATCAGTAACACTAATAATAATAATAATAATAATAATATATTAACACCGCTAACTATGTTTGGTAGAGGGATTTGTTTCCTAATTTGAATCATGATTCGTGGTTCGTTACAGCATTTTCTCTCACAAAAATACACGTAAATAAAAAATAGTTCTAATCACATGATTCTAATCCATGAACCAAACGGATTGATTAGCTCTCAAATTAATGCACACTTACGTGTGGCTGTGTATAGGCTCTATCTCTATGTTGGGACCCACATATAAAATTATGGGACTGTTTAATCCTAAGTCACATTATACCTCATGCTTCTCCATGTAGTTTGAGTGGCCATTGGCATTATTCAGCCAAAAAGTGGCCATTGGCATTACGTGGCTTTTTGACTGATAACTGAATTAGTATTCGGAAAATGAACGAGTGGGGAATCATGAAGTTTAAAAAGCACTAAAAATCTGCTTCAAAGGTCGAGTTTAAACACCAAAAAGCGCCTACTATTCTTATTTGATTATCAAAATATGTACATAGTTTGCGAAAACATCCAACTAGGTACAATACAATGTTCTTGATCACAAGAGCTAATGCCCTTCTCAAACCATCTCCATAGCGGACAGATTCCTCATGTACATCTCTCTGTTGCGCAGATAACTCCACCATACAAACATCCAAACTTCCTTGTTGAATATTTTTATAACGTCAAGTCAAAACCGAGTTGCAAAGGATTCCGAATGGTTAACCAGTAACGACACATCTTGGGAGATAAACGAAGCCCATGCATCCTATAATAAGACCAACTACTTTAGGATTTTTCAGATTTTAGCATCTTATTATATGGGGTTACCCACAAATGGTCCTCAGGTTTATCTCTATCCCAGTTTAGTCCTTAATTTTTAAAACTTCTCATAATTAGTCTTAAAATTTTACTTTGTTTTAATTTAAGTCTTTCTATTAGGTGTAAAATATTTAACAAAATCAATAGAAAATTAAGAATCAAAATTAGAAACATCTAAAGTTTAAGGATTAAAACAATACAAAAATAAAAGTTAATTTCTACATGTAGTCTTTAAATTTTAACTATTTTTAATTTTGTCCTAAATTTAGACAGTTTCTGTTAAATATTTAACTCCTAGTTAAAGGAATGACCAAATATGAAATAAAGTAAAATTTTATAGACTAACTGTGTGACGTTTTAAAAGTTAAAGGTTAAAGTGAAATTAATGGTAAATCTCTGGACTGTTTACGAGATTAACCCTATTATGTATGTTCCTAAAGCAATTGGACCAGAATCTTTACCTGGAGGATTGGAAAAGCCTTGTCAGAAACGTACTTTTGAGGGAGTGTCGCTCCTCGTTGTTGTAGTTTGTCTGGATGGAGACACAGCCTTGCTTTCTGATAGGCTTTCTTCACTTGTGAACTTTCTATAAGGCTTGTCAGAGGGATTGCAGACCAGCCACTATTGGGCCACAAAATCTGATTCAAGGCACAAAAACTATTTTTCGTCAGTTTCCAATTTCCATATCAATTTAACATCACTAGAGTAACACTGAAGAGAAGTGAAGGGAATTGAGTAAGAAAAACTTAGGGAGTCTTACATAATGTAGTGTCGAAAGCAGCAAACGGATATCAGTTTCCTTCCCGGCTGACCACAGCCTTATATTTTCATCTTGTAACCTCATTTCCATCTGTGCTTCAGGTATAAGTATAAAGAGTTTTATCAATATTTGCCCATTTGCGTTGTTTTTCCTTTGGTTTTTAGTCGGGGTAAGAAGAAAAAGATAAAAACTGTGGCTTTTTAGTTAGCGTTTGAAACCACATTTTTCAAAATAACATAATAATAAAATAGCAATGATATTTAAATCTCCTAATACGCAATAAATATGTTATGATAAAGTTTTTTTAAGAGAATACGGGACAAGTTGCAAAGATCTTCTAAAGAGCCAATGCTATTTTGAAAAGTTATTAAACACTTCTAAAATTAGTTTTTAGACTCAAAAACCCAAAAGCAGCTTTCAGAAAGCAATTTCTTACTATATCTTTCAGAGGAAGAGTCTGTGTCAAAAGTTGAATACAACAAATAGTTTACCTCTGGAGATTGGACTACCCCATGCTGATTCTTCATGTGTTGTTCTGGAAAATCCCTTACATTTGGCCTTGCTACATCACATCAAACACAAAGGACTCATTACTTATGCGTTTTTCTAATCAATTTATAGGACTGGTGGTGAACTTGATCAATTTAGGGAGTCATTAGTGATTTAATTATCACCTGCATCCATTTTAGGAGACTCTTTAGTGTCCGCTTCTTTTGTATTCAAATTTTTCTCAGAACTATGTGTCTGGAACTTCTCCTTAGCCCAAGCAATCGCTTCATCAATACCAACAGCATCACAAGTCCCTTCTCTATGGTCAGAACCAATCTCAATGACATAAGAGCTCATTACTTCATCATCATCTTCTTCTTCTTGATCCAATTCCTCCTCTTCCTCCACCACATGATCCTCGTGATTCTCTGATTTGGCATGATCATCAGTACTGCCATGACAAAGTGAAGAGACGGGTGAAGAGGGAGAGTTGAGTTCAACATCATCTTCCACAGAGATCTTGATACTTGGATACGAATCAGGTTCGAGACTAATGGTTTCTGGGGACGACACTCTCCTTGAGAAGCCGAAATGGGACCTTCCAAAATTCCAGTTGTTTTCCGTTTCCATGAATTGGTGTTCAGCATAGGAAGGACGATTTCCATAGAAGGTTGGTATGCTTTGTTTCCTTGATGAAGTTTCATTGGTGCGCATCGTTGTGGATGAGTGATTCCTTCTACATGGGACGTTCAGTGGCCTGAGGCAATCATATGATTCGATCAGTGGGATTTCATTTTGGTAATTTTGTGCTTGCTACTCACAAGGCCGTAAACCAAAAAGAGAGAATTCTTTGATAGAATAGGGGAAAAAAATATCTCACAACTTTATTAAGGTTTATTAAATTATCCTACTTTTATTAATCTGGTATGATTAATAATATGATTTGAGAGTGAAAAATTATATCATATTGGAACACTTTGAAGAAAAATCAGGTAACACACTTCTCATTTTGTGAATGAGAAGTGTGGGCCCTAATATTTTAGAATATATATATATATATATGTTTATTTATAGGCTAGACACATACTAGCATTTAACTTTGTAGCTAAAATTTAGAATATATATATATATATATGTTTATTTATAGGCTAGACACATACTAGCATTTAACTTTATGTAGCTAAAAAGAGGTTTTTTTTTTTTTTTTTTTTTTTTTTTTTTGGGAAAACAAGCCATGTTATTTGGTATAAAAATAAATTAGTGTGCTAAGCATAATATCACTAAGGTTTTTCTTTTTTCTTGAGAAATAAGGAAAATAATTGAACCTTGGAACTAGTTATAATGTGATTTTGAGCAAATTTTAAACCGTTTAGAGGACCCACTGCATGTAGTGGTGGAAGAACTCATGATGTGCAACAATCCCTGTTAGTGTATCATATTATTATTATTATTATTTTGGTGCTGGAATTGTAATAGTTAATTCGACAACTAACAAACAATCAAACATAAACAACATGGCTTGTCGCCTAATCGTCAATTCCTTTTTTTTTGGTCTGGAATTTTTAGTTATTTCGCTAAAAACGCCTTGGCAGCTTGGTTAAGAAGACGTTTACTTGTATATAACAGTAGAAATCTGCTTCATCCCTTTTTATAATTTTAATTGTCCTGTAAGCAATAAGTTTAACTATAATAAAACTACTTGTATCAATAGTTAATGATAACTGTGCATAATTTTGTGATTTTGGGGCTTCCTCAATTAATTGGAAGCTCTCTTGTTGTAATGATGGTTTTTGTTTCAGAAGCAACCAACTTTTCAAGCAACGGGGGAGAAAAAAAAAAAGAATAATAACATTGTTGTTGTTGTTGTTTTGTTACTATTACCTTGCTATTAGTGTGCAGTTTTGAGCTGTCCATCACATTTTATAATCATTATTAGAATAACAAAACTACAGCAATTTAACGAACTGAACGAAAATCTAATAGTTCAAAACTATATTGATTGGGTAATATGTTTTTTTTTTTTTTGGAATTTTTATACCTAACTTAAAAAGAGAAAAGAGATAAATATTCTTAAATTGTATGAGTATGGACTTTTCATTCTTAATCTTAATTTTTATATTTTTTAATTAAATAATTATATTAATTAAAAAAATATTAATTAAAAGGTAATGATAAATTCTAAACCCTTATACTGTAAAAGTAAGCTCAATAATTCTCTTCACTGCAAAATTCTCCTTACCATTAACCAAACATATGCTTATAATGACAATTACCAAACATAACGGATCACTCATAGAATTCGTTCCGGTGCATGTCAATTTATCTGTATAGTAGAGAATAATCTTTGTACATACATGAAAGGAGAAACAAACACAAGAAACCACCCAAAAAAAAAAAAAAGTGACTCCTCAAAAAGTAAATTTTCTTCCCAATCAAAAACAGTAAAATTCCTTAAAAAGGTGAAAGACAATAATATTTTCCCCCTTCCCTTTCTTTTCTTTTTTAAAGCATTGCTCAAGTTATATTCCAATTATTTCAACTTGCTTTTCAAAACACTATCCTTCCACAAATCATCCAAAAGTTATATTCCATTTATGTCAGTTTGGCTTCTCAATAACACCATCCTTCATATTAGGGAACAAACGAAAATATAACAGAAATCCAAGAAATAATAATATAAAAAAATAAACTGAAACAAATTTAAATATTTTTGTTCCAGAATTTTTTCTTAAAAAAATTACTCTCTGTTCAAGTCTATGAGCAAATTACGGGCCTGTTTAGTTCGTTGATTTAAGTTTTTAATTCGAGTTGATATGTGATTTTATATGAGAACTTTTTACTGTAGCAAAAAAATTAAGTGTGACTGTTTTTTAGAGTTTTTTACTGTAATAAAACTCAAATTGATAAAATGAACTAGGTGTTTAGGTTCGAGTTGTTATAATTAAAAAAAAAAAAAGGAAGAAACTCTATTTTTATCATTCCCGTACTACCCTTACAAATTAGCCTAAAACCAGCAAAATTCAAAGACACAAAAACGTCATCAAGAAAACTATATTTTTATTTTTAAAATTAAATGAAAATTATATCGCCATGGAAGTAACTAACTGTAACTGTGTAAGTCTGTAACAGACAATACCTGAGCTTGGAAGCAAAATCCGACAACGCGACGTGTTCGGCGATCGCAGGCCGAAGAGGGCTCATCTCCTCCGAGCTAAGCACCGACGACGACGTCGACTTTGATTTCGATTTCGACTTCGCCTCCGAGTTCGGCCGCGACCTCTCCCGCGACCTCCTCTCGTCGGCGGAGAAGTCCGATCCGAATCCGAAGACGTCGCTGTAGAACCTTTCGCTCGTCCCAGGAATCCTGAACGCTGGCAATCCGCGGCCGCCAATCTCTCCGCCGGAGTGGAGGATCTCCGGCGGGCGGAAAATCTCCTCGTAGAAAGAATTCGAGACAGCGGCGGTGGCGGAGAAATCACCGGACATCTTCCTCCAGAATACGCTCCGCGGCGGTCCGCCGAAGACGTCGGCGAAATCCTCCGGCTCTAGGGTTTCGGAATCGGCCGCGAAGACGGACGGTCGGGTGGAGGAATACTGCTCGGTGGATCGTCGGCGTGGGAGGCTCGACATCGGCGGCATCGATCCCATGCGCATCCGCCACGACTCGTCCATCGTCTTCTTCTTCTCCTTGTTTTTCTCCGACGAGTTTCGCCTGTGAGAGAATTAAGAAGAAACGAGGAATGTGAGTTTGCTATATAGTGTCTAGCTTGGACAAAAGGAACTTTCTTTAGAAAGTGAATGATTTTCTCTTATCTTTTCGTAATTAAATTTGGAGGATTATATCATATGTATATGAATAATGATTTGTATTTGTTGGATACTTATACTTGGGCAAAATGGAAAGTATTTTTGCAAAAAGCAAATGAAATGATCGCCATAAGCACAGGCCTGCTGTAATTGCTTATCTGGAAAGATGATTCCAGTTATTTGTCCCCACCAAATATACGTTTAGTGCATGATATCATTTGTTTCTCTCTCTCTCTCTCTCTCTCAGTTTCTTCACTTACAGTATGAGAGTAATGGACGAAAAATTAATATAATAATGAAAATGGACCAAGAAAACTAGTTGTAAACAGACATAATTTGAAACAATTAGGTATTAATTTGCCGCGTGGTCATTGTGGTGCATGTGATAAAGGGGAGAATTGGATTAGCTGATTCTTTTGTTTGGAAGGAATGGATTAGCTAGTTCTAGAACTGTATGTTTGGTGCATTTTTTTTGTGTGGTTTTCTTGTTAGATAATTTTTTGCTTATGAGAGTCAAATTTGAAAGATTTTAGGCAGGTAAAGGTGAAGGTAAAGATTGACACTAAATTCATTACTATATTCATTATAAGAATCTACATATATAAGAGGGGGATGGCGTTTTGAAAGAGCGCAACATTTATATTTTGTAAAGCTCGATTATGCCTTTTTTACGGAGTTATGTAAATGTTAATTGAAAAGAATACAGGAAAATATAATCCCTGAATTAACGAAACTAATGGTGTAACTATTTTGTTCATCACATCCATTTTTATATGTTTTCCAAGATCTATAGTTATATCATGTGTGGGACTTATAAACCCCAGGCTCTAGAAAAAGCTTCAGAAAGTGTGCGCACTACCTTTAAACCATTTTTTAAAAATTTATTTTATTAATTAAATTAATTAAAAAGTTTTTATATCTTAAGCAATTTATTACTTCAAGTAACTAGAATCCAATTCACTATTACACTAAATACATAATACTACTGCCAAATACATAATTCAATCCAACCCAATCAAATAATTAAATATAAAATGGTAATTCTATTTAACCTTATCCAATCTCGCACACCAATTAGTTGCAATATTCGCCCTATATTTCAACTTCCTTACAAAATACTCTTTCAGTAATAACTGTTATCAATGCATTTGTTGAAGGACGAAGGTTAAGAATAATTTTATTTTAGACTCAGATTTACTGTCTAATTTTGGTGTTTTAATTCGTGTCTAACCAATCAAATCATGTCACGTTATGTAAAAAATTTAGATTGCTTTTTAACTAACTCTTTAATACTTATCATGATATGATGTGGTATGATTCAATTGGTTAGACACCAATTAGGACACTAAAAAATTTAATAGCCGATTTGGATCCTTTTATTTTGATAATCACAATAGAAAAGAAAAAAGAAAAGAAAGTAAAGGAATAAAAGTTTCGAGATTTGGCCTAAGACCTCTTAGTCTAGTGACATTGAAGAGTTTTGTTGGGGAGTTGCGGGTTTAATCTCGTGTTGTATTAAAAAAAAAAGTTTTGAGATTTGCATAAAGATATTAAATGTTGCTTCGCGCTTGTTTTTTTTTATATGAATATCAAAAATCTTGAATTTCAACAAATGGAAAGGAGGGTTTTAAAAATTAAGACTTGCAAGATATATAATCCTTGTTTCTTTGCAGGAAAGATATCATTTCAAATGGATTAATTTCGATTTCGATTTTGACCAAACTATGTACCTTGGCTTGTTTTGTCCTGTAAATGTCTAAATGTTATAAATTGCACCTTAATCTCTCAAAATGTTAATGTTTGGCCCTTCTATCATAAAATGGTTAAAAACTTGACGGAATAAATCATACAACCATCGCATACGTACCTGGCTATAGTTAATAAGCACTCCTAAACAAATTTAAAAATTTAAAAAAAGAAAAAGAAAAAGAACTTACAATATGTGAGGATAAAATTTATTCAACTCTATTTTTCATTGGTGTGATTTCTTTTAAAAGTATCCTTTATTAACGAGGCATGTGAGAGTCAAATGGTTGATTCCATGAGTTTTTAATGATTTTGTGACAAAAAGGTAAAATATAGAACTTTTTGATAAATCAGGGTGCAATTTGTAGCATTTTAAAATTTGAGGATCGAAATGTAATATAGAATGTAATTTGGGGACCAAAATTAAAACGAACTCTTTGCAGACATTCTGATAATTACTATAACAAGTAGGGTAGTGAAATTTTCTTTTTTCCTTTGATCTTATCCTTGTCCATTAACTTTGAACTTGGGTGTATATGACCTCTATGGACGTTCCTAGATATAACAGAATTGTAGATACAGCCATATAGATGCAAAATCTGTTTGTACGATATGCATGTATTTAGGTATTAAATATCTATGTGCTGATTCGACAGCTAGCTTTGAATTCGTTCATTATAATTGTAAAAGTTAAAAGGGACAAGTTAGAGCTTGTCTGAATATTCCGCGAGAAAAATTGTTAAAAAAAAGAGTTTTCTATAATAATTGTTTATTTAATCAGAATCTGTTTGTTTTGTATCTTTTTTAGTTTGATGAGATTTTGATTAGATATAATGATAAAAAATGGATACTACTAATATATGAGGTCTTATAATAGCAAAAAAAGAAAAAAGAAAAAAAAGAAAGAGAGAGAGAGACTAGTAAGAAAGTTTTGTTTGGTTTGGCAAATGATACCCACAAAAAAGCCACTAATTCTTAGAAAGTCGTGGGATATATGTGTAGCTTTAAGGAAAGGGAAGAGGCAAAAAGAAGATTGGTAGATTATAGAGAGCACCACCCAAACGAAATATATATAAAGAGGAAAACAATAATAAAAAAAAAATTAATGGCAAAGAAAAAGGGTGGTGGTGATTATAATTTGTTCAAACATTAAAGAGATGTTGTCTGGGTTTTTGGTGACACTTCACAATATAATACATGGTTTATTGACGTATTTGCCGAATTATGAGATAAAAGAACCATTTGTAGTGGAATGAAAAGTGATTGAAGTGATCAGGAGCAAAAGCTGAGCATCTCTCACAGCTTCACTTCTATTATTTTTATTTTTTGGGTGCATTTGTGGTAGAGAAGACTATTTTACTGCACTGTAAGAATTATATTTTAACCATTAGATTAGTTTTTCAACAGCATGAACTGTAATTAGAGCACTTTTGTGTTGCACATTATAAATTTTTAATGTGAATATGCACAAATTTAACCGTAAATTAGTTTAAAACATTAATTTCTATCAAAAGAGTAAAATAGCATTCACCATAAAAAATATTCCCTTATTTTTTTACCATCTTTAATTTACTTTTTGCATACTATTCCAAAGGAATTAACTATTGTGCTTTTTGGAGAGGTATGTGCGTGGATATATTAATTTCTCGCAAATCATGGAGGTTACTTGATTTGTTTAATATTATTTAGCTTTGTAATCCTTTTTCATCTTTTGGCTTTTCTTGGGAAAATAATTTTTTTTTCTCTGACTTGGGAAAATTAATTTGATAGTTCGATAAGGGTATTATGTTGTTAGGAAAGATTTTGACCTTTCCCTTTTATTATAATAATAATAATAATAATAATAATAATAATAATTATTATTATTATTATTATTATTATTATTATTATAATTATAATTATAATTATTTTTTGCTTTTGGGAAAATGGCTAAACCAAATCAGGAACATAAACAACCTGGCTAGCTATCCAAGCCACAAAAAAAAAAAATCAAAATACATAAATAGGCCTAACTATACTAAAGGCCAAAACACAATGCACTCAACGAATCCACAAGCCAATGAATCCAAGAATAATGCTTAAGAAACATACGAAGCAGATTTTGAGGCAAAATAAAGGCCACAAATTAAGAGAAAACATGAGAATAACCAAAAACCAGACTTTTTTAAAAATGCCATTTGGAAAGGGAATGAGATCATTTTCATTATTAGCATGCTTTAGCTAGGAATTTTTTTTTTAAAAAGTACTAAAATTATTCAAAAGCATAGTTACTTTCTGGGCCAGCCAAAACTGAATTTTGGACCTTCCAGTTCAAGGAAAGAAACAAACTATTACGAAATGAAAGCAATATTATTGACAATTTATTTACTTTTTTGAAAAAGGAAAGGACCATTGAAAAACACCGTCCATACCAACCCTCAGAAACTGCCAAAGTAGTAGCAACTAGCATGAAATATCTTAATAAATCTGCACGAGCTTGAGCAATTTTGCGTGGAATAAGCAGTGAATAGACGTGGAACAATTCTTCATAGTTACTATTCCTAGACCCTCGTCATAATAAGTACATTAATGATTTTACAAGTATATATTATGACACTATTGGAATGAAAAAGACTAACACATAAGTTAATTATTTTCCGCCATGATATCTGATGGTAATATGCTTTCCTTGAGTTTTCTAGAATATTACACATGATCATCGCACAGACTATAGATGTGTAAATCTACAGGTGTGAAAACCATATGCAATGCAGAGAATCTTGTAAATTCGATCGCTCTAATTTTTATTTTTTAATAAAAGGGTGCGTCTTATTTATAGCTTATTGGATTGAGAAAATAAGAGAATTAGGAGCTGTGCGATTTTTTTTATTATAACTTATTCTTCTTCATAGTGAATTTCTACAGTGGCTTAAAGTGAGAGTAACTCTCACATTAATAACTACTAAATCTTGTGTATTCTTGTTTTTATACTTATCTTCTGACTAGGGTAAATATTACAAATCCGTTAGATCTGGTGGTCGACAATCATTCGAATTTGAAAAGGTTGTCATGGCACTTGTAGTAGGATAGAGGACTTATCGTGACCGATGTCTCCGTCACTACTGACGTCATCAAGCAAGCAACATGGATTGGCCAGGGTCTTTGAATGATTTTATTTCTAATATAAAATTTTCTAATTCTTTATACTTCTTTGTGGTTCAATATTCTTTCGCTACGTGTTTGTGTTCTTTGTTAGTTGTTAGTACTCTTCATTGCATGGAATGAAATAGTTTATACTTCTGGCCAAAAAGTAGACTTACATATGTATAAGTTTATTTCATATTAGAGCTAGAGATTTGAATGATATTACATTAGCGGCATACTTGTTTCCTTAAGTATCATACCTATATTTCACCAACTCAGTACCTAAATTTATTAATTCGGCATATGATAAGTACT